AAAAATATTATGAAGCAAACAATATATGCAAAGCAACAGTAATGAGGCAAAAAGTTCAGACTAACAATGGTGTTAACACACAAAAGGGATACAGACCAGTGATCACAGCATTCTCACTTCAAGACAAGAACGAACAAGAATATGACAGATTACTGAGAATTGGTCTATCTTATTAGCTAGGAAGAAATCCCAGCATGCATCTGTGTTTTGTCTATACATTTGGAGAGGGGTAAGTTTTTGTAGTCATTCCTAAAGAATTGGAACCAATACTTTATAATAAATCATTTTATTTCATTTCATAGAGAAATAATTTCTCTTCATATTAATATTTGAACTTATTTCATATGCTATTGTAAAATGTGAATGTGTATAAAATATTTTAGTGGGGAATAAAATATCTATTTGTAGCTTTTGGTAAGATACTTACTACAGATTTTTTTTTAAAAAAAGTAAGACAAAAAAATTAATACTTTCTGTTTATCTTTAAATATTCAAATATACAGCAAATATACAGGCTACAGCAGAAACCATCTAATCTTGTACAGAATGGTTGTTCATTTAACTTGCATCTTAAAATTTTTTAATTTGATTTTCTTGCTCATTTTAATGAGTGACTGAAAATGGGGAATTTTCTTTTCTGTTCACCAGTGGAACATAAAAGCCAGACTTGAAGAATGACATTTCCTTTTTTAAGCACATTGACTAAGTAGCACTTGACCAACTGACAGGTAAATTAACATATATCAAAAAATCTGCTTGACTTTTTTTTAGTTTACCCCAAGTAAATCAGTAAAGACACAATGTCATAAGGGGTTACTAGGTGTGAAAGAATAAGAAACAAATATTACTAAGGAGTGACAAGAGTAATCAGGACAGTAGATAGCGATTGACATTGCAATTTTTGAACATTAAAGTTGACAAGAGAGCTAGAAGAGTTCTTCAGGGAAGAGATGTGAAAAAAAATCTCTTACCATAGAATTTATGGTTACATCTAGCCAACTCAGCTGTAAATTGATAAGATTGTGACACCACTCTAGTGCTGAGCTTAAATTAAAAAAATGCTGGGTACCATAATGAATAGCTCATCTGAACAATTTCCATAAAAATATTTATAGAAAACAGGGAGGCAATCTTTCAGCTGTGGAAAAGTGACTGCAGCAGTGACGCAAAATCACATTGTTGATTCTTCTTTGGATTTTATCAAGGTACTTTAGATAAATAGCAGGAGCACCAGACTATATGTGGCAACAATATTCTATGCATGGATGAATGGTACATTTATAGATATGCAAGATAGATTCTGAAGAACAAATTGTCTAGCATGACACAGTGGATCAACTTTCTTAGCTGCTGACCTAACAATGGATTAAATATAGTCTTTCCATTTCATGTCAGCCAAGAATGTTAGCCTGAAAAGGCATAACAAGTCACTTTCCTGAAGGTTACCATCAGCCATGCTGATATCAGCCACAGAGGGATCTCTCAGATGATTAATAGAGAATAATTTAGTTTTGGAGGCATTAAAATTAAGAAGCCATTTTTGCCCCAGTTAGCAACAGACTGAAGGTTGTTTTGGAAATTAACTAACAATTTGACCTTATCGAACTGACAAGTGCCCATTCAGGATAACTTTCAGTTCAAATATTTGTCCAGAGACACTGTAACATTCAGCTTGTGGTGAAAACCTGTATGCCAAACTCTGTTGAAAGCTTTTGAGATGTCTGAAGCTAGAACTTGGGCTTCACCATTCTTATCTAGAACTTGATAGACTCTTTCCATAATTATCCTCAGTACATCAGCAGCTGAACTGGAGAAACGAAAGCCATATTGCTTATCTAAAAAAAAAAAAAAAAAAAGACCCTGTGGCCCGAGATGCTTAACCAATTTAGCACTGATTTGGACCTCAAGGAATTTCCCAAAAAGAAGTAGACTAATAGGTCAGGCGGTTTACCTGAGTTCTTACAAAACTAGAACAGATGACAACTTCCAGCAGGTAGGAAATCAAGAGGCAGCAGGAATTTATTATATGGTTTAGAGAGAACAGGATCCAGTTCAGGAACACAATGACTATTTCAGGGATACCATCAGGTTCATATGCATTGTGGGTATCCAGTTTAGAGATGATAGCAGAAACCATAGAAGGGGTTATATATATATATATGCATATCACTCAACAGAGACTCTGTTCAAAGTGGAATGTTAGACAATGATACTCAAGATGAGTCAAGAATAGAGTTTAAGGAGAATTTACAGGTGAAGCATTCAGTTTTATCTGAAAATGTTAATGCCTCAAATTGATTGAAGAGAGGAATAGCCTTTTTACACTTGTTTAATATGCTATTATAGAGCTGCCAGTAATTACCAAAGACAAATTTGTTAGATGCAATATGGTGCCTCATTCTCTCAGCAAACAGAATTAGTTCCTTTGAAAACTTGTTTACATTTATTATGAGCAGCAACAAATAGTTCTTATCATAACAGGCACCTGTCATGCTGGTATAGCCAAAAATAGTGGTTCCTGTTGGCTGGTGCAAAACAATGGTGAAGATGAAGGTTTCAACTGGTATTTCCAAGAAGAAATGAAAGCATCCATGACAGCTTTGACCCAAGAGGAAACCTCAGTGACACAATTCTCAGTTTGAAAGTTAAAGATGTCATTCCAAGGGGTATCACAAAGAAAATTGTGATTTTCTTTGTGAGTCCCAATCAGCATGCTAGTAACAGAAAGAGTTCTTACGAATAGGAGGTTCTGTTTAATAGATGGCTGGAACAAAATATCAATAGATACTACAGCATAATCCGAATTTCCAAGAGAGCAGTGTTGCAAAGCTCAGCAAGAACAAGGAAAGTAAGTAATAAATCAAGTAGAGAAGCCTGTTGCTAAGGAAACTAGTAGGGAAATCTATGATTTGGGTAAAGGATTGAACAATGGAAAAATTTAATGTCTGAATACTGGCAACATCAGTACCATTAGAATATTTAAGCCATGTATGGTGGTGCACATTGAAATCACCAAAGATGTTTGCAGATGAATGAAGAGTGCCTTTTCTATACTGTCAAAGATTGTCTAATATACTGCAGTCCTGAGAAGAGGGGGAGCAATAAAGTGGGGGAAAAAAGATAAGGAAAGATGAAAGCACATGAAAGAGTTTTCAGGGCATTTGAGAGACAATTCCCTTGCCATCAGAAGAATATCCCAGATGTAAACACCAAATCCATACATGTGAATGTTGGAATCTTTTCAGCAAAGGGGAAGATAGCCTGGAATGGAGAATTAATTTGTAGCAATAGAAGAATTTAAATTGGTTTCACAAAGTACAAAGATATCTGGCGACCATTCAGAAAAGATTCTACACTGCAGTAGTTGGAACAGATACCACGAATATTGGAGAAAGAACGGTTTGGGGGGAGGTGTTTTTTTTTTTTTTTTTTTTTTTGTTTAGTCGTATTTCTTTTCATTGTGTTTGTCATGAGATTTGTGTTGAGAAAAAGAAAAGGCCAGCATAATTATCATTATCTGTCATCAGTGGCAATGCAAACTAGCCATAGCATGACTGAGACCAGAGCATAATGTGGCTTCGGGTTTGTCTACTGGAAATATGTGCAGACACTTACCCATGCAAAACATAGCACTAAAAATACCCCAATATTATGTGACCAAAGCAGCCTCTATAAGCACTACCGAAGAATCTAGGCTCCTTATGACCAGTTGAATGCAGCAGCCAGCAAACCACCAACCCATTACCCCTATAATGGAAAGTCACAGCCACTGATTAGTCTACTCACCAAAAAGTTAAGACAGTTAAATCAGTATGGCCTGGGTAGAAGAAAGAACTAGTAAATGATATCATGAACAGAGAACAAAGGATGATCCTCTATCCCAGTTCAGTAGATGTGAAAGGAGATAGGTGAGTCTATCTATTCCTATTAACCTGTCTCCAGCACAAGAGGCTGGGCAATTTTTATCAAAATGCCAAGTCTAGGAAGGTTGCTGAATATAGTTATAGACATCAACCAGGCCAGAGGAAGATTACCAAATGATTATAATATCATTCTGGAGGAATCAAGTATATCAAGAACAATTTTAAGGGAAACAATTATGATATTACTAAACTATCAAAAGATGGATCATATCAAGTTTTAACTTCATTCTGAGGTCTCCTGCCAATTAAAACAAAAAATCAGTTGCATAAAATAAGAAAAAATAAATCCTATTAAGTTTTAAATTATAAGTTCTGATGTTTTATACCAACTAAAAAATTGGGTTGGGTAAAATTAATTCACTCTTGTCAACTCAAGTTTTCAGCACCAATATGAAACCATAAGAATGTTGTTTATCTTCGTCAAATATTCCTTGATTTACTCCAAACTTATAAAATATCAGTTACGAATTCTCAAAATGAAACTTCACAAAAAGGAAAATGATCCAATGGAAAGATTTGATGCTTCCCATAAAAGTTTTTGTCAAAAAAATGTACTTATCATGATCTATATTTTCCAATAAACTTGTATATGTATCAATAGAAAAGACTAGATATGAGTTGTGTGTGTCTCTGTTTTTTTTTGGGGGGGGTGCTTCTTTTTTCTTTTTTTTTTTTTTTTTTTTTTTTTTTTTCAATTTATGTCACTCCATTTGATGCAGTCATCCTTTGATAACTACTTAAGAACTCATGTTGCTATCCATGTATTGAACCACTGTTCAATGGCAATCAAAGTGCTAATTTTATTGACAAAAAGATTTCCACTTGTTTAATTTTTCTTAGTTGTTCAACAATTATGAATGAAATGACTTCATGACCTGGATGAATCCATAATTTGGTTTTCATGAATTTTATTTGTCATGTTCATTTTGCAAACTTTATGCTTTCTGCATATTGTTGGGAATAGAAAATTGTAATTTCTTAATACCTTGCTGTTATCAACATTAATCAGCTTCATTAATTAAAATCTTAAATAATTATTGCAATTTTTGAATGAAATAGCTATCTTTATCTTTACAGGTATGGACCCATCAATACCTGGATTTCCTCGATATGAAGTTGTTGGAAACTTAGACCTGGGGGAATACAATTTGATGATTACCAATGTAGAGTTGGGTGATGATGCTGAGTATCAATGTCAAGTGATGCCTTCAAGAGGAAATGGGGCTCTCATGGCTTCAGCCTATCTCACAGTACATAGTAAGTATTGTTACTTCACCATTTCTTAATCATACAGCTAATTATTATTCCCAAGAGTAAAGATTTTGGCTTTTTATATGTAGTAAGTTAAATGAAAAATTGGATGCTGACCATTTAGATAAGGGCTAACCAAAAGTTTTTACCATCATAAATGTTTAATCACTTTTGTAAATGAAGCATTTTCAACAAATAATTGTTTTTGATGTGCAATAATCTAATAGTTTACTTCTTATTCAGTTTGATGTGTTATAATCTATTTCTTTGACGCCTTTTTTCCCAGTCCCTCCAGATGTTCCTGAAATAGTTGGCTTCAGTAACGGTTCTATTATTGAAATCCCTTCAACCCAGGATATATTGAAACTCACATGCATTGCACACAATGGTCGTCCTGCTGCCCAAATAGAATGGTTCAAGGATGGAGAAAGAATAATGACTGGGGTGGAACGTAAAGTGTTGTCCAAACCAAATCAAAAACGTATGACAGCAAAAAGCATATTGACTTACCGACCGCAGTATATTTATAAAGATAATGATGCCTATTTGAGTTGCCAGGCTTTCAATGATGCAGTTAGAGGACCACCTTTGGAGACAGTGGTACAGCTAAGCATATCATGTGAGCATCTTCAGGTTTCATTTCTATAAAAATTCAATGCTAACAATATATATTCTTTTGCCCACCACAAACAGAAATAGCCAGAATTCCATTAAATGCTGCTACTTAAATTCAGGCATGATTGACTCGGATCTAATTAATTTTTCTCTTTCAAAAACATTTTACATTATTATTTAGACATTGGTATCATTTTTTTTTGTTTTTTTTTGTTTTTTTTTTTGTTTTTGTTTTTTCAAATATTGAAAACTAAAATAAATTTAGGTACTTAATTTTTCTTTCTTTTTATATAAAATTTTAAAATATTAAAAATTTATAATCTGTATAATTTGTATTCCTGAATCACAAATGCTATTGATCTAACTTCATTTTCTTGTATTTCAGTCCCACCCGATCCACCTGAAATTTCTGGTTATCAAGAGGGTCAGGTGGTGCGCACTGGTGACACACTCCGGTTGTTGTGTGTATCAAGAGGTGGCAATCCATTGGCTCATGTTGTCTGGTATAAAAATGATAGAGAAATTGACCAATCCTATGTGACTGGACAGAATAAAGCTGAGAATGAATTGACTATTATGCCTGTCCAGACATCAGACAATGATGGCATCTTCAGATGTGAAGCCTCAAATGTTGCTACTCCAAAACCTCTTGTGGCATCTTTCAAACTGACAGTACATTGTAAGTCAGAAGCATTCTTCTGTTAATCTATGTTAGCTTTGGAGAAATATTATACATGTTTGTTAGGACAATTCATTTATTCAGGAAATACACCAAGATGGGCACAATTTATTTTTTATTTTATTTATGCAATTGTAAACTCTGAAAAAAAGTGGAGATAATTTGCTTTTCAAAGTCTTCCTCCTCCACTTCCTCTATTGCTTTTCAACGTCTTTTCTCCTCCACCTCCTCTATTGCTTTTCAACGTCTTTTCTCCTCCTCCTCCTCCTCTATTGCTTTTCAACGTCTTTTCTCCTCCTCCTCCTCTATTGCTTTTCAACGTCTTTTCTCCTCCTCCTCCTCTATTGCTTTTCAACGTCTTTTCTCCTCCTCCTCCTCTATTGCTTTTCAACGTCTTTTTCCTCCTCCTCCTCCTCCTCTATTGCTTTTCAACGTCTTTTCTTCCTCCTCCTCCTCCTTTTCAACCTCTTTCTCCTCCTCCTCTATTGCTTTTCAACGTCTTTTTTCCTCCTCCTCCTATTGCTTTTCAACGTCTTTTCTCCTCCTCCTCTATTGCTTTTCAACGTCTTTTCTCCTCCTCCCTATTGCTTTTCAACGTCTTTTCTCCTCCTCCTCTATTGCTTTTCAACGTCTTTTTCTCCTCCTCCTCTATTGCTTTTCAACGTCTTTTCTCCTCCTCCTCTATTGCTTTTCAACGTCTTTTTCTCCTCCTCCTCTATTGCTTTTCAACGTCTTTTCTCCTCCTCCTCTATTGCTTTTCAACGTCTTTTTCTCCTCCTCCTCTATTGCTTTTTCAACGTCTTTTCTCCTCCTCCTCTATTGCTTTTCAACGTCTTTTCTCCTCCTCCTCTATTGCTTTTCAACGTCTTTTTCCTCTATTCTTTTCAACGTCTTTTCTCCTCCTCCTCTATTGCTTTTCAACGTCTTTTCTCCTCCTCCTCTATTGCTTTTCAACGTCTTTTTCTCCTCCTCCTCTATTGCTTTTCAACGTCTTTTTCTCCTCCTCCTCTATTGCTTTTTCAACGTCTTTTCTCCTCCTCCTCTATTGCTTTTCAACGTCTTTTCTCCTCCTCCTCTATTGCTTTTCAACGTCTTTTCTCCTCCTCCTCTATTGCTTTTCAACGTCTTTTCTCCTCCTCCTCTATTGCTTTTCAACGTCTTTTCTCCTCCTCCTCTATTGCTTTTCAACGTCTTTTCTCCTCCTCCTCCATTGCTTTTCAACGTCTTTTCTCCTCCTCCTCCATTGCTTTTCAACGTCTTTTCTCCTCCTCCTCCATTGCTTTTCAACGTCTTTTCTCCTCCTCCTCCATTGCTTTTCAACGTCTTTTCTCCTCCTCCTCCATTGCTTTTCAACGTCTTTTTCTCCTCCTCCTCCATTGCTTTTCAACGTCTTTTCTCCTCCTCCTCCATTGCTTTTCAACGTCTTTTCTCCTCCTCCTCCATTGCTTTTTCAACGTCTTTTCTCCTCCTCCTCCATTGCTTTTCAACGTCTTTTTCTCCTCCTCCTCCATTGCTTTTCAACGTCTTTTTCTCCTCCTCCTCCATTGCTTTTCAACGTCTTCCTCCTCCTCCTCCATTGCTTTTCAACGTCTTTTCCTCCTCCTCCTCCATTGCTTTTCAACGTCTTCCTCCTCCTCCTCCATTGCTTTTTCTTCCTCCTCCTCCTCCATTGCTTTTCAACGTCTTCCTCCTCCTCCTCCATTGCTTTTCAACGTCTTCCTCCTCCTCCTCCATTGCTTTTCAACGTCTTCCTCCTCCTCCTCCATTGCTTTTCAACGTCTTCCTCCTCCTCCTCCATTGCTTTTCAACGTCTTCCTCCTCCTCCTCCATTGCTTTTCAACGTCTTCCTCCTCCTCCTCCATTGCTTTTCAACGTCTTCCTCCTCCTCCTCCATTGCTTTTCAACGTCTTTCCTCCTCCTCCTCCATTGCTTTTCAACGTCTTCCTCCTCCTCCTCCATTGCTTTTTCTTCTCCTCCTCCTCCATTGCTTTTCAACGTCTTTTCCTCCTCCTCCTCCATTGCTTTTTCAACGTCTTCCTCCTCCTCCTCCATTGCTTTTCAACGTCTTCCTCCTCCTCCTCCATTGCTTTTCAACGTCTTCCTCCTCCTCCTCCATTGCTTTTCAACGTCTTCCTCCTCCTCCTCCATTGCTTTTCAACGTCTTCCTCCTCCTCCTCCATTGCTTTTCAACGTCTTCCTCCTCCTCCTCCATTGCTTTTCAACGTCTTCCTCCTCCTCCTCCATTGCTTTTTCAACGTCTTCCTCCTCCTCCTCCATTGCTTTTCAACGTCTTCCTCCTCCTCCTCCATTGCTTTTCAACGTCTTCCTCCTCCTCCTCCATTGCTTTTCAACGTCTTCCTCCTCCTCCTCCATTGCTTTTTCAACGTCTTCCTCCTCCTCCTCCATTGCTTTTCAACGTCTTCCTCCTCCTCCTCCATTGCTTTTCAACGTCTTCCTCCTCCTCCTCCTTTTCCTTCCTCCTCCTCCTCCATTGCTTTTCAACGTCTTCCTCCTCCTCCTCCATTGCTTTTCAACGTCTTCCTCCTCCTCCTCCATTGCTTTTCAACGTCTTCCTCCTCCTCCTCCATTGCTTTTCAACGTCTTCCTCCTCCTCCTCCATTGCTTTTCAACGTCTTCCTCCTCCTCCTCCTTTTCAACTTTTTTTCAACGTCTTCCTCCTCCTCCTCCATTGCTTTTCAACGTCTTCCTCCTCCTCCTCCATTGCTTTTCAACGTCTTTCCTCCTCCTCCTCCATTGCTTTTCAACGTCTTCCTCCTCCTCCTCCATTGCTTTTCAACGTCTTCCTCCTCCTCCTCCATTGCTTTTCAACGTCTTCCTCCTCCTCCTCCATTGCTTTTCAACGTCTTCCTCCTCCTCCTCCATTGCTTTTCAACGTCTTCCTCCCTCCTCCTCCATTGCTTTTCAACGTCTTCCTCCTCCTCCTCCATTGCTTTTCAACGTCTTCCTCCTCCTCCTCCATTGCTTTTCAACGTCTTCCTCCTCCTCCTCCATTGCCAACGTCTTCCTCCTCCTCCTCCATTGCTTTTCAACGTCTTCCTCCTCCTCCTCCATTGCTTTTCTTTCTTCTCCTCCTCCTCCTCCTCCATTGCTTTTCAACGTCTTCCTCCTCCTCCTCCATTGCTTTTCAACGTCTTCCTCCTCCTCCTCCATTGCTTTTCAACGTCTTCCTCCTCCTCCTCCATTGCTTTTTCAACGTCTTCCTCCTCCTCCTCCATTGCTTTTCAACGTCTTCCTCCTCCTCCTCCATTTTTTTTTCAACGTCTTCCTCCTCCTCCTCCATTGCTTTTCAACGTCTTCTCCTCCTCCTCCATTGCTTTTCAACGTCTTCCTCCTCCTCCTCCATTGCTTTTCAACGTCTTCCTCCTCCTCCTCCATTGCTTTTCAACGTCTTCCTCCTCCTCCTCCATTGCTTTTCAACGTCTTCCTCCTCCTCCTCCATTGCTTTTCAACGTCTTCCTCCTCCTCCTCCATTGCTTTTCAACGTCTTCCTCCTCCTCCTCCATTGCTTTTCAACGTCTTCTTGAACTGTGTCAGCCAAGAGACTTACTTACGATTATTTTTGAAAAAGTTAAGACCTAAAAAGAAGGCTTAAGATAAAATCTGTTCAGTTTTCGATGTCAAGAGAAGGAAAAATATAATTATATATATTCTTTATGCCCACCAAACAAGGAAAGTAACCTTTGCCTTCTCTTTCAATTCAAAATACCTCTGTCAAATGTTTTGTTTTTTCTGGCAATTTTTTATATTGGTTAAAATTACTTAAATTATCATTCCATTTGATCACATAATATCCCATATTCTATGTGCAGTAAATTCTCTCCAACTAAAAGTAATACTAAATTTTTTTCATTAAATTCTAACCTTTCTTGAATATTGATTATAAGTGTGAATAACTAAATTTGTAATTTATAACTGAGATTTAATTTTGTATCCCTCTGTACAGAGGCACGGTGTAGTAATGGATAGTGGCTCGGATTGAGGAATATGGAGAGCCGAGTTGGAATTCAAGTCGAATCCATTACATTCACTTATGTGCTAATTACTCTTTGGAAAGGTATGAATCCTTTTCTCCTCCCACCTATGGGTAAATAGTAGGACAGACCGGGTTCTGTGACCTTGAATGGCAACTGGTCTTCCACAGAAAGAAATGGCAACCTACTACGGGAAAAAAAATCTGTTTCGTCTGTCATATATCGAAAGATACAAGATGGTCTATACATATCATATGGCACGTAACTGACTGATCCCTCTGTACTAATTAATTTTATACATGAAGTATATTTCTCTATTACATGATGATTGTAATTAAATTTCATAATTCATATTATTCCACATGGGTTGTTTGTATATTTGGTGAACATTATTTATCCTTGAAGAAAGTAATTGTATTTTGTATGGTCAATAGTTTTTCTTAATAAAATATTGCATTATCAGTTAAAATAAATCCATGTCATATATGTTTAAACAATTTATCTGAATTGATGAATTGCTTTGCTTAGAACAATGTACAAAGCATAGGATTTGCAAAAAAGAACATTTTTAAAAATTGGTTTCTTGTGTTCATAAAACTAACATGAAAATTTATGACAAATATTGATAATTCGGAGTTACTTCTCAATATTAGCTAAACTTTGCATGTTTCTTTTAACATTCAGTTTTAACATTGGGTGTTTTCTGTTGCAGTTCCTCCTAAAAAAGTAAAAGTTACTGGCCATAGGTTAGCAAAGGCAGGTGAAACAGTCACTCTCAAGTGTGAATCTAGCAACAGTAATCCTGCTGCTTCAATTACTTGGTTTGCCAGAGGGCGACAACTACCAGAAGACAACACTCAAGTGAAAACAGCACCAAATGGTGGCTTCATTTCAACATCCATCACCAAAGTGAACTTGACTGGTAATGAGAATAATGTTATGTACACCTGTCAGGCTAAAAATGAATACATTAATGAAGCAGTCACGGACTCTGTAACTCTCAGTGTACTGTGTAAGTATAATTTCAATTCTCTTTGTGTTCAATAAATTGATATTTTATTTTCATTTTATATTTTTCCCATTTTCTGCTTTTAATTAAAAACTTCAACGCTTTTCTTTGTAGACCCACCAGCTAAACCTAAAATTACTGGTTACAAAGAAGGTTTGGCAATCAATTCTGGTGATCTAAAGAGATTGACTTGTACTGCTGTTGGAGGAAACCCTTTAGCATCTCTTAAGTGGTACAAAAGTAAGATAATTTTAGGCTTTTTTTGTGTGCACACACACGCATGCTTATATCTCTCTCTCTCTCTCTATATATATATATATATATATATATATATATATATATATAGAACAAATAGGAAACATTTATCAATCTAACAAGTGTCACTTTTATTAAAACTTCATCAGAGAATGAGAAAGAGAAAAAGAAGAAAGGAATTCTGGTATTTTTACTTTTGTGTTTGATTTTCATTGGTTAATCATTTTTCACATACATTTGACTTGTTAGATAAATGTTAGTATAATTTGTGACAACACATTCATTTGAAGTTTCAAGAAATTAACATATTCCAAGCCTAATTGAAATACCATAGATATTGCTTTATGTATGTAAGTGTATAATAATTCTAGTTTTTCTATGTGCGATTCAAATAATGTATATTCGTAAGTGTATGTCTAGTAGACATTGTTTGTTGATTTGGTTCATTGGATTCTACTTCAGAGCCCTTAGGATATGTAGCCCAAAATACCTAGACAAAGCTTCATCTTAAATGCTAGAAAATGAGCTTACAAAATGCACAAATCCAAAAAACTAGACACCATCAATAGCACTTCTAACAACATTTCTACTAAACTTGTAAATAAATTAGTTCTCTAATACTAGGATTTTTATCACCACATCCAAGACAATTACGGATATAATTTAGAAGAAAAATAAATCCAACACCAATTCAAATGCAGATACTTATTAAAAGAATTGCTTACAGTGTAAAAGCACTTCTATCAGAGAGACATCACAAAATTTAAAAGCCCCTATCTATGAACATAAGAGGCAATCATTCAAATTCTCTCAAAATTCACAGGAATAAAACTAGCCATAACTTTGATTTTGATGCCACACTATTTAAAAAATATAATTGTTTATGTTGAAAGTACTTTGAGAGCTTACTAATAACATTATTACCAACTATAAACAAACCTCAAAAACATTACATTACCAACCTTTATTGAATCCATTCTTAATCTAAAACAAATGGTATGTTTGTAAAAATATTCCCAAATCAACATGCAAAAAAAAAATCAAACATAATGTCTACTAGATATACACACACACATATACATTATCATCTGAATCCCACATAGACAAAACTCAAATTATTATATACTTTTATATACAAAGTATATTTACGGTTTTTCAGTTAGGCTTGGAATTCATTAATTTTTTAAATTCGAATGGGTGCATCATTGCTCCTTGAATTCAGAGCACCACAAATTATACTAATGTTTGTTTAACAGTTCAAATGCATGTGAAACATGATTAACCAGTAAAAATCAAATACAAAAGTAAAAATTACCAGATTTTCTTTTTCTCCATATCTCAGTCTCTGATAAAGCTTTAATAAAAGTAACACATGTTAGATTGATAAACATTTCCTATTTGTTCTTTATCTTAACATTGATTCCAATCCATATTCAATCCCAACTCATATGCAAATTATGACTTTTACATTTATCTTTGTGTATTGTGTACACTAATCTATTTTTTCTTGATAAATTATGAAATACAGCATTCTGTAAAATAAATTTGGACCTACAACCTAATAGCCACTTTCAGGCTTAAATCCTAGTTCACTTCACTAAATCAAATGATTTTCTTAAATATGTCTTCTCAGATTTCCTCAATTTAATAATTGTTTAATCTTTGCCTTTTCTGATGGTTTTTATACATTTATATCTTCAATGGTCTACTCTTTTTAAAAGCCCCTTGATGCATGAAAAACTTTATGAACTCATTTACAAATGCCAAGAAATAATTGACATAATTCGTTTATCCATTATTTATTTGCATATTTAGTACGTTTATCAAAATCCTTGATCTCTGCATCTCTTTCATGTACTAATGTTTCTTTTACAGGCAGCCAACGATTAGATTCAGACTACAAAATTATTGGCAACATTGCCTCGGCAGACCTGGCAGTTATTATTAAGCCGGAAGACAACAATGCTGTTTATGTGTGTAAAGCTACAAACAATGCTACAGTAAAGCCACTTGTGACAAAAGTTAGACTCAAAGTCTATTGTAAGTAATTGTTAACTTCCATAAGAAGTTTGAGATTTTCAAGTCTTTCTTTTCTAATGTTAAATGCTAATTGAAAAATTTGATTTAATTGCAGTTCCTCCTCTCTCTGTAAACATAACAACAAATCCCAAGGTGGCTAAAGCAGGACAGAAATTTAGTCTACGCTGTGAATCATCATCCAGTAACCCTGAAGCTGAAATTATTTGGTTAAAAGATGGACAGCAGATTATGAGTAGAGATGGAGCTGATGTGGCAGTTAAAAATGGTACAAACGGAGGAAAAATTACCATAAATGTGTTGGACATAATACCTACTGCAGAAGACCATTTAGCTGTCTATGGTTGTCGAGCAATCAACACAGCTTGGGAACAGTCTGTTAATGATGGAATGACTCTAAATGTCCTGTGTAAGTTTACATTTTCATTTTTCAAATGTTTACCTTTTATTTCTATTCATTTAAATTTCAGTTAAACCTATTTCTTCACTTCAAATACATGAAGTTCAAAGTTTGTGAAAATTACATATAAAGTTTGCTCTGTGTGTGTGTTTTAAATGTTAAACTAAAACTGACATCAATTAAATGCAGCTTTATCATTTATATCTACCAGTATAACGTATTTCTTGGCCAACTTAAAAGTTCTTTCTTAATGAAGATTAATTAGCATATTCAGCTTTGAAAATCCATTTTCCTTTTTTAAAATGACTTGTCTAGTCTGATCTTTATGAATAATTAGTCCATTGATGGGTTTTATTAAATTGCTTGGTTATTAAAATAAACCATTTTCTGCCCAGAAAGTGATAATGACCTTTTGAATTTAGATCACTGCTTTGTGGGTGTTGAGGAAAGTAAGCTTTGTTGACATTTTAACAAGAAATTTTGAAAATAAATCTTAATCTTCTGAAATAAGTTTTGTTCATAAAAAAGTAAAGTTACTCAATTTTTATTTAATAATGCTTTTTCTTTAAAACAAGGTGCTTTTGGGGCATTACAAAAGATTTTAATGGAAAAATTGAATTTTCTACACTTATTTAATGCTAGCAATGTTAGCTGACATTGTGCAAGGCACATCTCTTTTCTCTAATCCATGATGCAAAACAGCTATTTCAAAAGATTTATATAGGCTATAAAATATTACTGAAGTTTGATAGGCTTTAAACATTTTGGTTATCCTTTATATTTCATCTACTGCATGGGAGCATCATGACACAATAAAATGTGATAGCCTTTGTCATTTGGTTGGTTGGTTGGTTGGTTCTTGGTTATAAGTAAGAAATGGAAGAGACCGTTCTATGTTTGGTACCAAGCAGAATGTGTTAGGTATTAAACAAATTCATCTTGTCATTTTGGCAAAATGGATGAGATTCTAACTCGTGCAGGATAGTAAACAAATAGTTACATGTTCAAGTTCTGTTGAAGGATTAAATGGGCAAGGTGAATGTTATAGAAATCAGAAAACAGAACAAAGGAAAAGAACTTGGCTTGCATAATGTCTGATTTCATTGCTAGTAGTGTAGTGAACGCATAAATGAACATCCTTGAAAACAAATGCACATTATGTGCACCATTTTTCATGGAAAAAGTGTAAAAGTCAGCCAGAAAAAAAATACGGCAACTAGAAATGCTTACCTGAGTAAACTATTCAATGTGTTGGCCTGTCCAAAAGAAAAATGACGTGCATGGTTTGCATAAACTCTTATTGTCAGCGCAAGTCCCAAAGCATGTGTGAATTCTGAACGAGATTAATGTTGTGCTCTACAAATTAGGTTCTATAAAATGGGTAACTTGATTAGTCGGGGAGTTTGTCTCTGAGTTAAGTTGCGTGGTGTACAAGTTCTTGAGATGTGCAACTGCCGGATTGAATTTTATCTCCACATAAAATTCTGCTACATAGTACCATTTACAAAATAGAGATTTTAATATGAACTTCAGTCCCTCTTTCAAATAATGTGGGGGAAAACTTCACGAACCTGACAATTTTTTTTTTTTTTTTTTTTTTTAATTAGCATCAATTTGCTTGATAACAAATACATTTTTGTTGCATTTGTTTCTCCAGACTTCTGTTTTCCATATTTTTTTCTTTTAATTCTAAGTAGGGGATGCAAATAAACACTTTATTTTTCAAGACAAATTGATTTTTGCATATTACTTATGTTTTTAGGAAATTTTGTAATTGAAGAATTTTTACCAATTTTTACATTTCTATTTTATTAGGTTTATTGCTTTTATCTGTGAACTGGTGATATCATTTCAAAACCAATATACTATGTATTTTTCTTCTCTCTACAGTCAAGCCTACATTCAGTACTCTAATACCACGCAAAATTAGTATTCTTGAAGGGAATTGGAAATTAATAAATTTCAGTACACGGGCCAATCCACCCAAAGTAACCTACAGTTTGTGGCGAGATGGCCAAGAACTTGATCTGCACAATGTTTACCCACACTTTCATCTTGATGAAGGTGGTGTTCTCAACATTACCAAAGCACAACAAAAAGACAGCGGTGACTACCAAATAAAATCAGTTAATGCTGAAGGAACTGCATTTTTTAATTTTACACTGGATATTCAATGTAAGAATCAATTTTTATTATTTCTCACCATATTATTCCTATTCATTGCTCATTCTTCTTTTGTGTCATGTTTCTTCAGGATGTGGCAGATCATGACTCTCCACAATCTCTTATCCTTTGAAGCTCTTAGAAATATCTTTTTATTATCCCTTCCACTAACCTTCTGGTACTATTCAGGTTTGTGTTCAATTTTTAATAAGGCATCTAAATAATGTCATTTGTCTTTAGCTTTCATTATCAGTTTTTCTGTAAAACTGGCCAAGATGGATTCTCATGTTACTAATTTTCTTTGGTGCTATCTCAAGCAAGAAATTTTATTTTTTAAGTGAAAATAAATTCTTCACTCTTTCTAAAATCATAAATTCCTTTTGTTCCCTGCTGGATGTTTCTCCTAAAACTTTTGCTCATTGATTAAATTCCTCTTTTAATTAACAAAATTGTTTTTTAAAACTGCTAGCTGCAATGAAATAAAAGCAACCATTGTATCACACTTTGTATCACACTTTGTATCAACAATTTACCTCTGCTCTAGTAAGCCATTGAGATAAACTACAATTAAATGATGGGAATATATATTAAGGCATGTTTCGAAATTGGTTTTATAAAACTTTAAACTGTTTTTACTGACATTTATTGGGGTTTTTCACTTTTTATTATTTCAGTGAAATATACTTTATACCTACGTGTATATAAAAGAAATTAAGTTTGCCTCATCAAAATGACTTAATAGCATATCAGTTAAAAAGAAAACTGGAAAGTGCTTATAAAATTTGAATTGGAAATAAGAGTCCTGCCTTCCTGTCCTTAACTTAATTTTTTGCTTTTCTCTCAGTGACTCAATGCATGCTTTTTTTATTGTAGATCCAGCCAGTATCACAACTATAACAACCCCAATCATGAAAGATGAAGGGGGTATGGCCTATTTTGTGTGTAATGCAAAAGCAAACCCCAAGATTGACAATATGGTGCGCTGGAGTAGGGATAATTATGATATGTCAAAGACCAGGCAGATGTATGACAATGGGACTTCTTACTTGACAGTTTATGAGCTTTCTCGAACGGATACTGGAACATTTACTTGTTCAGCCTATAATGGTTTTGGAAAAGTGGTCACTAGAGTTGCACAACTCATAGTAAAATGTAAGACTGTATTTTCTACCATTCTTTCATTTTTTGATTTTCTTTACAGTTTTCAATTTTATTTTTATTTTATTTTTTTTTGTTTATTATTTGACAAGAGAGCTTTTGGTTCCATATCTTTTATTCTGTTGCTTCCAATTTTCTATTGATAATTGCTCAAATTGAATTTCAGCACTTCATTGGTTTTAAAGTTTTCTTGGAAACTAATTGTAATTGTTTGCCTCATTAATTTTTAGTTGAAATTGACTGTTTAATTTCCTCCCCACAATTCCATTAATATGGTTGGATCCTCATTTATATAGAGCCTCCTTTTTTCTTTTTAATTGTTTTACTCTTTGTAACATTCAATCTAGTCTTATTTAGCTAAAGTGGCCACCCACCAAATCTCATTTTTGCTATAACATATGGTAGTTCTGGCTTCCAGTTTAGCAAAATTAAACACTTTCATTTTATTGCCATAATTGATAAGAATATTGGCTACATTTCCTTGATTTTAGAATTCAATTCCATATGAAAGCTTAATATACAAAACTATTCCTAGGCATCTTTTCTATTTTAGCATGTTCTAACCAACAGAAACTATAGTTACTTCCTTTTTCTGCAGACAGAATCAATATTTAATATAGATTAACACTCTTTAAAAATGATATCACATTGATTTGCTTTATGTAACTACAAAGTCAAAATTCTGAAAGATTTTTTTCTTCTTTCATCTTAAAATCAGATAGTTTGGCAGCTTAAACTCTCTCACCATTGTATTCAGATTTCTTAACCTAAAGAAATTATCCACTGAAATAACTTCAAGTCTTTATCAGTTTTCTAACTTTACAGTCTTCAATGTGATTATCAACAAAGCTTTTGATTTTTCTACTGTTTATTTTCAAGTTCAGTTAATGATTTGTTTCTTTAAATGTTTGTTATATCTTTGGCAAATTTTTCTTTTCGATCTGTCAAGTAAATGACTCTTGTTTGAATTGTTACAGATCCTCCTCAAATTGACAAGGCCCCCAAATATGCCAAAGCAGCAAGTGATAAAGGAGGAACTGCTATTCTGCTCTGTAAAGCTGATGGAGCACCTATTGTCACTTTTACGTGGTCTAAGGTGAGTTTGTTTGGTTTTTTTGGGTTTTTTTTAATTGGAATCACCTGAAGCAAGGTAGTAATGTCACTAAAACACAAGGGGTTATAGGTTTTGAAAGAATTAGGAACAGAAACATTAATGATGAGCAGAAAGAAGTAATCAGGTAGACAGTAGATAATGATTGACATTGCATTTAAATTTTTGCAGATTAAAGCTTGCTGGAAAGCATGGAGCTGGGAGTTCCACAAGTGAGAAGTGCTAAAGAAACTGTTAGCATAGAATTTATGCCTAGTCAGCTCAACTTTAAATTGATGAGATCTCAATGCCAGTCAAGTGCTATGCTTAAATTAAAAAAACTTAGGTATCATAGCAAAGATCTCATTTGAAAAATTACCCTGAAAATGTTTATAGAAAAGACATAGAGATACAACATTACAGTAGTGGGGAAAATGATTGAAGCTTAACCACCAGATCAGAACCAATAATATTGCAGATTCATCTTTGGGCCATATCAAGGAGCTCAGGGTAAATAGTAGGTGCACTGGACTATATGTGGCAGCAATATTCTAAGCATAGATGAATGGTAGACTAATAAATCTGTTAGATTCTGGAGAGAAAAATTGTCTCATTCGACATACTGAAACAACTTTCTTACTAGCTGACCTAGCAATGGATTTAATGGAGTCTTTCTGCTTCATATCAGCAGAGAACATGAGCCTGAGAAGGTGAAACGAGTTACCTTTCTGATGGAAGGCAGCAAGGGGTCTCTCAGATGATTAATGGAGAGAAGTTTAGTTTTGGAGGCGTTAAAATTAACAAGCCATCTTTTGTCTCGGTTAACTATGGACTTGAGATCATTTTGGACATCAGCTGCCATTTTGACCTTGTCAGACTGATACTCTTTACTATGAAGGCAAGAGTAAGTTATTGTCATTGGCATAGATACCAAGTTGAGAGCTGATGTTAAGAGGAAGGTCATTAATGAAAATTAAAAATAGAGTAGGACCAAGGATGGAGCTCTGGGAGACACCTGTGTTAATATGAAAGTATCTAGACTAGAGACTGTTCAGGATAACTCTCATTTCACAATTTGGTAAGAAAGACTGGATTAGTTCAAAAAGTGTCCAGAGACACTGTAACTTTTTAGCTTGTGGAGAAGACCTGAATGCCAGACCCTGTCAAAGGCTCTTGAGATGCAACAGTCCAGGCTACACCATTTTTATCTAGAGTATAATAAACTCTTTTCATAAATATTGTCAGTACATCAGCAGTTGACCTGGAGAAATAAAAGCTATATTGCTTGTCTGAAAGAAGGCCCTGCGATGAGAGATGAACAAATTCAGCATTGATTAGAGCCTCTAGGATTTTCCCAAAAAGAGGTAGAAAGCTCATAGGTCAATTGTTGGAAGGGTTAGATGGCACAGCAGTTATTCTTAAAAATGAGAACAACAGATGAGTTTCAGCAGGGAGGAAAGCAGAAGGCAGCAAAGCATTTATTATACAGTTTAGAGAGAACAGGAGCCAGTTCAAAAGCACACTTGATGGCTATTACAGGGATACCATCGGGTCCACATGATTTGTGGGGATCTAGGTTAGAGATGATAGCAGAAATCATGGAAGGTGTTATATGCATATCACTCAACAGAGACTTGATTCTAGGAAGGAATTTATGCAGGGATATTCTGGATTGAGAATTTACAGGCAAAGCATTCAGCTTTATTAGCAGAGGATGATAGAACTGTTAGACATTTTCATGACGGTCATCCTCGAGTATAGAATCCAGAGGTTGGCAGTGAATATTTCGGAGACAGTAGGAAAGCATAGTGGAGGTTCGCAGTGGATATCACAACAGAGTGTAGTTCATCCTTCTCCTGGTCGCCTTTGGTCCTTCCGGTAGAGGAAACAAGATGGCCGCCTTTATACACAACGAATACAGTGTTGGGCGGCTTCTGATTGGTCAACCTTCCATTGGTCGACTATAAAGGGAAATAAGTCATTCTGACTCGCTCACTAGTTATACGTGGTATATACCCAAAAAACTGTAACAGCCCCCCTTATTTTGGGTATATTATGGAATCTTCCTTCAAAATATTAGTAAAGTTAATAAATACTTTAATTCCAAAAATTTTTTTTTTCTTTAAATAGGTAATATTAATATGTAACAAATACTTTAGTATTCCAAATTTTATTTAATTTTTTTTTTTTTTTTTTTTCTTGAAAATTAATATCCACAAAAATTAGTCATATCACTTTGTTCACAGTTAAGTACTTGGGTTAATAAAACATTAACAACAATATTATAAGTTTAGATTGCGATCACAACACAGGTTAGAGTGATCCTCAGAATCATTTAGAAGTGAAAAATTGTTATTTTATCCATAGCTGGGACCCATTAAAACAGTTACTATCACTCCGGGTCAGAGTGATCCAGGGAATCATTTAGAAGAGGATTGGGCTCATGGTAGGACCATTTACCTTTATACCCCGAAACTAAGGACTTACATTCATACCAAAAACTGAACTGATGCTTCTTAGGACAGTAACTAATGGATGCAGTTTTATGTCCTACCCAGGACCTTAATAGGGGCCTTAATGGATGCAGTTTTTACGTCTTGCCCAGGACCATTGAGGGCCTTAATGGATCTAAGAAGTCAGCACTAAACATTGCAGGAGCAAAAAGCCTGTAGTTTCCATTTCATAATCGTTTTTTTTTTACAAATAAATCCGCCATATTATTTCCCGATTAAACATATTCAATTTGTACTGTTTTCTTCTGTACTTGGTCTCTTAATAAACTGATATTCTATATTGATATGCTTTGATCTTTAATGTTGAATTTCTAGACAAAGCAATACTGCTCTGATTGCCGAGTAAATAATAATTGGCTCAGTTATTGCCAGTATTATAATTGTTTTCATTAGCAATTTATTCCCCAAAAAATAACCTCTTATGTTCTTTTTTTTCACAATGCAATACATCCAGCTTCACAAGTAAAAGGTGAAATCTTTTTGTTGTTTCTTAATTCCTGCTGATTATTGGGTTACCATCCGAATAGCTTAAAGCAATAGCCTGTTATATTCCTATGGTCTGGTGAATTGGCCCAATCAGTATCACAAAGTTCTTCCAATTTTAATAGTTTATTGGATTGTCAAAAATACTAGGCATCGACTATTAGTCCACTTCAGATAACATAATACTTGCTTAAAAATTGTTAAAATGTACAGTCCACGGTTTATTTAAGTTTTGGGATAACTTAGTAACCGTATAGCAGATTATTTTGCCTAGTTCATATCATCATGCAAATAATACTTCCGACCAATGTTCTGTATTCATTTTCACACTCCGCTATACCATCTTCTTTATTCCTAATTGTGTTTCAATCCATTTCACATGGAGTAGTTCTTGTTTTGCCATTTTGCATGTTAAATTTCGATAAAGCCTTTCCATGTATCTCGATTAATTCATTGAAATCGTGTTGCCTTTAAATTTTTACTGTATACCAAGAAGAACATGATAGTTCGACCCAAATTGGTCATTTTAAAACTCATTCCTAGAGAACTCTTGATCTTTAATAGCACGGCCTCACTCTTTGATACAATTAACATATTTTCGACCCAAATAACTAGAATTACTGATATTTCATTAAATGTCTGTGTACAGACATGGGTCAACTTGAGGAGATTGAAATTATCTCGTTAAATAACAATGGATTTAAATTATTCCATGTTTTTCCACTCATTTTGAGTCCAAATAGTGACTTTTTTTTTTTTAATTTTTTTTTTCTCTTAAAGTTTCCATACATAATCATCACTTTTTTTTTTTTTTTTTTTTTTTTTTTTTTTTTTTAAACCTTCTGGTGGTTCCATATACATTTCATAGTTTGATGGTGCATTCTGAAATAAGCCTCTTTCAACATCCATATGATGTAGATCTTTACCACAATGGGCATCCATTTGCATCAAAACCGTAATTAAGACTTAATGTCACTACATAAGTCATCCGCCCCATATATCTATAAAAAATCTTTCGTTAACTATAAAAAACGAACATCGATACTGGCGATCTATTCTTAGTTAAGCTTTTACAGTGTAAACCCAACGGCTGCCAATGATATTTCTATCATCAATTAATTAAGACTTAAGATTTCTACATAAGTCGTCCCCCCTTATATCTATGTAAATCCGTTGACTACAAAACGAACCTTGTAGACTGACGATCTATCCTCAGTTATTTGCCTTTTTATAAATCGGCTGCCCGATGATATTTCTATCATCATCCATGGCGTTTTTGATTCAAAAAAAGTGTCCCCAATACTAAAGATTAAATTTCTTTATTTTTTCCTTTTGAAGGCTTAAATTTCTTCATTTTTTCCTTTTGAAGACATGGCGCAGTTTCTGATCTTAACAGAATGTATGGCTTCTTGGTAGTTCCTTGAGATACATTTGTACTGCATAACAACAGTTAATATTACATTAATTCATTTCACAATAGTCTGGCTTTTCTCCATTTTGGTCGGAATTTGCACCTGATTTTCTTCTTCTCATATACCCCATCTGGTATAGTACCTTCCTCTGCTTGTGGACTCTGAGCGGGTTTTCTACCCATAATTAGGCCATACTTAATTCGGGTTGGACTAGTTCCTCGCAATTAATATTTTTTTTTTTTTTTAAGTTCCTCCCCTCGCTCAAAGGAATTTATCAATCTGATGCATCTGATCTTCCTCATCATTTTTCTTTTAAATCATATAGTCTGGACTTGGCTTATCTTACCCAATAAATATGTCCCTTTCATTTTTTCGGATATAATTCCACCCTGTGGTCAACATATATATATATATATATATATAGCAAATTATATCAAAAATATGCATATCACTCACATTGGGCTCTCATTGAGTTTTTAGTTTCCTTCTTAATGCATAAAACCACAGCTTCTTGGGTAATTTAAATTCTATTAATTCTATTCTATTCATCCAGCCATTTCAAAAAGTGTCCTCCTACGGCGTTCAGCGACTCCGTTCTTATGCAGAGAATAAGAACAGGTTTTCTCATGTTTTAATGCCTTCATTTATTTAATTTATTAGGAGGTTTTTGTAAGCATCAGAAGTAAATTCTCCACCATTATCTGTTCGAATTATTTTTAATTTTCCATGCGGGGAGTTCAGATAAACAGATTTTCGTAGATTGCAGATTATCAAATTTATTTTCAGAAAATATATCATAAGCCCCGAATATTTGGCAACAAATTTAAGTCATTTTTCTTTAATATACGTGTCACAATATTTTAAATCATTTGGAAGTGTAATTTTTATTCCAGTGACATGTTCTTGCAATCTTTTAACATCAGAATTCTTACAGTGGCCTAATATTTCATGCCTTGTTCTCAAGTCATGCGTGGCCATCTTCGCAGACTTAACACTTTTCAAATAATACAAACGTCCATATTGCTGTATATTAAATCCAGTTCTGTCTGGATATCTTGAATTTAAAATATATATTTTTTTTTTTTTTTTTTTTTTAAATAAACATTCCATATATTTCCTCTAGTATTTCGCAGATAAGTACAGGCACTACCTCTCTTTGACGCTAAATTATTAGCTCTGGTGCCGTCCAGTAACTTGATAAAATGTCTGTCGAGCTCAAAATTCGGGTCAAAATTAATAAATTTTGTTTCATCTCCAATTACATGATTTGTCGCACCTGAATTGACCAAATCACAAGTACTGGCCACAGTACTCAATCCAAACAAAAAAGGCATATGCACATCCATTCGAAAAAGTTTTTTTTTTTTTTGTTTACAAAAGTCATTCCGTGTATAAAATTGACATTTCATTTAGACGGACATGGCCGACATTATTACCACAACTAAAAACAACATTTTTTTTGCTTTGATTTTGGTGGGGTACTTATCATATTGCTTCATAATTACGTAACGCAATTTTAAACTCAGTGAAAGTTACTTGTTTATCTTTGAGTTATAACTGTCGTGAATGGTTTGAATGAAGGTGGCAAACCCTTCAAGACCATGGCTAATTGCAGCCCATCTGAGATAGTCCTCACCTGCAATTTTAAAGCATTTGTGACATTCTCTGCTAGAATAACTGGTTACTGATTCATTTTCTTTTCTCTTTAACGCAGTTAGTTCAAGTATATGAAGCAATAATTTTAGGCTTACCTTTTAACAAATAGTATTCGTTTAAATTTGTGTAGGGCTCGGCTTCCATTGTCCTTGGCCTCCTCATTATTATTAAAAAACAAATTCCAGTCATCCAGGAATTGAATTAACTCAGCTTAAAACGGTCGCATTTCTTCATAAAATCATCATGCCCCCCCCTCCTGGTCGACTTTTAAAAAGATGATGTCATGGAGTTTTCATATTCTTAGGTAGCCTAAAAAACTTTGTCTCCCATAATTCATATCCAGATTCATTCCCGTCAAAATAAATTGTGATCTGGGCCCATAACCTATGTTAGACATTTTCATGACGGTCGTCCTCGAGTATAGAATCCAGAGGTTGGCAGTGAATATTTCGGAGACAGTAAGAAAGCGGAGTGCAGGTTCGCAGTGGATATCACAACAGAGTGTAGTTCATCCTTCTCCTGGTTGCCTTTGGTCCTTCCGGTAGAGGAAAACAAGATGGCCGCCTTTATACACGACGAATACAGTGTTGGGCGGCTTCTGATTGGTCAACCTTCCATTGGTCGACTATAAAGGGAAATAAGTCATTCTGACTCGCTCACTAGTTATACGTGGTATATACCCCCAAAAAAAACGTAACAAGAACCTCATATTGATTGAAGAAAGGAGGAATAGACGTTACACTTGTTTACAGATAAGCTGCCAGTAATCACAAGAGCAAAAGTTGTTAGGAGCTATGTGGGTCCTCATTCTCCTGGTATAGCCGATAATAATAATAAAAAAAAAAAAAAGTAGTTCTAACAAATATTTTTTTGCCTCCTTCACCTGCCTATCAAGCTCTTCTAGAAAGTTCATAATATTGTGGTTTATGTTTTAAGCAAACCTGCTTCTTTTCTTTTCTTCTATTTAAGCAAAAAAAAAAACAAATTGATGAATCATGGCAAGAAAGAGATTACATAGATATCAACCTACTAACAGAGACATCTCTAGTAAATTTCATGGTTGTTAATTGTAATCTAGTCCTTTCAGCAGCATTGATGTTGAAATGTCTCTGTTCAGCTTGTAACAGGAAGTTGGTTCAGCTGCTTGCTAACTTCTGATGATTTTGTAGCTTCTCTGAATTTGTACTTGACTGCCATCTTTTAAAGATGTCCACCTGCTGCTGCTAACCATTTTTCTTGAGTAGTGTAATAGACTGCTGACCAACCAACCACCTTCCAACAACAGCTTTTTTATTTTCTTTCTTTCACCATCAGAGGCTGATGTTGAGTCATTTATACACTATGCTCTTGTTCTTTCTGTACAAGAACTCTTTTCATAAATAATGTTTCTCTTGCAAGATGCACAATCTTTTAATTTTGCTTATTCTAGTAGAATAGTTAATTTGCCTTATTTTGCAAGATGCTAGAGGCATATCATTAATGAAATGCAACAGATGAAACAGGTGCTCCTTATTTACTATGTAACAAATTCCCCAAAGAAATTTTTTTTTCCAACTTGTTGTGCAAAAGCTAATTTTTGCTTATCACTGGTTTAACTGATATCAACTTTAGAGCAGGGTCTCTTGTACATTCAATATAATCTCATTAATTGTCCATTTTTGTAAACACCACTGAAAATACTATTCATCTTTTTAAAAATGCAGTCTTGGGGTGAAAAAAGAACTTGTGTGTATATAAAGTCAATGTGCATTGTAAATAATTGCTATCAATCTAATCACACAGATTTGTGATGGGGTTTCATATGTTGCATCCTTGCAGTATAATCTGAATGATCAGTACAACAATAAATAAGCATTTATAAGTACTGTGCTGTGAATTTTACTTATCTTGATCTACTACATTAACACCAAGACAATGAATTTTCAAAGAAACATGCTTACTGTTTTTAACTTGGAAGCCAATTTGTATTGTTTTATGGCTGCTCCTGTTTCTTTCACACTCGGACAAATTTAAAACTGATAGATGGCACTATTATCCAAAAAGTCATTTCTGCAAAATTTTAAAGTCTTGAAATTTTCTCTATCTTTTTGTAAATGTAAATTTTCAATTTTTTTCATTAAAATAAAACTTGAAATTTGTTCCACTTTTCCTTTCTATTCACGGTTCAATACTGCAAGACAAGAAACCAATTCTAATGTGCAACTGAGGCAAAATGTAAAAAACATATTCCACAAAACTTGCATGTCATGTCATGTAGCAGTGAATGCTTGATGTTTTCATTAACAAATGTAGATTTAATAACATTCATGTTCATATTACAGGGAAGTACGGAATTAACGGATACAGCCAAATATAAAATCAAAACCACTAAACAGGAAGATGTGAATTATATCAGCACCTTGGAAGTGACCAATGTTACTAAAGAGGACTATGGCAGATATGTTTGCAAGGCTTCCAATGAAAAAGGAACAGCTGCATTTAGCATCTTACTTGATGTCACAAGTCAGTTTTTTTTTTTCCTTTTTTTTGTTCTTGAAAGTTTTGTATTTCTCAAAATAATTTATTTACCTTTGTTTTTTTAATTAAAAGCTGAATTTTTTTTGTCTGGAAACTTGTTTTTCCTAACCCATTTTTGTTTTTCTTATCCATCTGCTTGCCTTTCTTTCATTTGCACAGAATTTTTCTATTTACACATTTTTTTTTTATTGTCCTCCATCTTGTTAATGTCATATATATATATATATATATATATATATATATATATATATATATATATTTTTCTTCTCTGAAGAAATCAACTTGTCAATATAATGGTTCAGTTAAAAATTATAAAAATTCATTTAGTTGAAATAAAATATCATAGTAGGCATCTATTTAACTCCTGAGAAAAAAGGGAGTGCCCTGTTTGGTCATAATTCAGTCTTTCGGTGGTGAGATTGGAATGACCTCTCCAGGGCACAGGCCTGGGTGATAGCATACAGAAGCAGTGCACTGCACAGACCATATGCTCACCCCCATTTAGCCATAGACAAGATCCAAAGGAATACAGAGCAGTTTATTTGGGACTGGCTTGGCTACAGTAGTTGCAAGAAGGTTGTCAGTGTTGACAACCAAAGACCTTTGGGGCTCCACCCTAGATTTTCTGTCTGGATTTATTTCTAGAATTTTTTCCATGTTTGGATATGACCACAAGGAGGCAGAGATTTAAAATCAGGATTTTTCTTCCCCAATATGGACTGACTTCCTGAGTTGACAAGCAACTAATTATGTGGTGCTAGTGATCTGCTTTTTCCCTTTCTTTTGCCCCTTTGAAACATATATATAATGTACATATGTAAACATTACATATGTTTTAAAAGCTACCAAAACTTAACGCATTTATATATATATATATATATATATATATATATATATATATATATATATATAATCTCTTATGTTTCTGTGTGTATAACCATGTAATGCATAGATGTCCCTGCAAGCACCTCTGGTGGGCAACCTCAAAGGCCACACTATGTTGCAGTCTGTGCCACTTCTCTTCCCACACATTATATTAAACAGCAGACTGCTGCTACTACTACTACTATCCTAGACCTTTCCTTACCAAAACTATAAGCAACCAAAGATATAAAACTAAACCAGCTCAACAAAAAAACACCTAAACCCCTCAACTTTTCTTTCTCCAACATTCATGGTATTCATACCAAATTCTACAGTGTGAAATCTTCAAAAACTCTCCAGACATCCTTTCTTTCTGCAAAACTATTAACTCTTCAGTCCCCTCCTCTGATTTCTCAATTCCTAGCTATTTACCTCTCTTTAGGAAGGACATGCATGGCCTGGGAGTTTATGTCCACAAACGTCTCCCACTTGCTAGGAACTCACACTTGAATGTTCAGACCATTCTTACATGTGTATCCCTGTGTCTCTCTCTACTTAACTCAATCAACTATCACTTATTTCTCTACCATTACCCTTCCTCTGTTGATTGTTGCATTTCTGATAATATAGACAAGTCCATCTCTCTTATACCCATTTGCAAATATATTTGTGTTTGGTGACTTTAATGCCCACCATGCCAGGTGGCTTAAGCACTCTGTCACTGACCTCGCAAACATCCAACCCCTATGCAGTAGTGTCTGTAAACATCTCCTTCCATTCCCCCCAATCAGCAAAGAACTTCCTACCAACAGAATACATTTCTGTTATGGGACTCATTCTGTGATTTCCTTCATGATGTCCCTTGGGATGTAGTTTTTAATCAACCTGTTCAAAAATGTGCATCTGAGGACTCCTCTTGGGTGAAAGTTAGCTTCGATGCTTTCATTCCATCAAGGAAATACCAAGTTAAACTGTATTCATCCTCTTGGTTTTCACCTTCTTGATTGGCCGCTATAGCCCACAGGAATCACTTCTTACAACTGTACCAGAGTGACACATCTGATTGCAACAGGTGTCTCTGTCTTTGCTCATAATGAGTGCAAACATGTCCTCACTGACACAAAGTTACTGTTTACTGATAGACTGAGACAACGCATCTCGCAAGTTAGGTTCAAAAGATTACTAGTGGCTCTGCAAGAATATGCTGAGCAACAGCAAATCCTCAATCCCTCCTCTGTTCAATCAATTGGAATCTGACATCTACAGCAGATAAGGTTGAATGCTTTGCTCGGAAATTCTTTCAATTCATTTGGAATATGCACACCTGATTTCCCCACAAGGACAGAGGTTCTACTGAGTTATATGAACATAATCTTATCACTGGTCTCAGACATCATTTCTAAATCAGACTCTCATAAGGTAAGCAGAGGTGAAGGGATCCCAGCCATCGTCCTGAAAAAAATATGCTCCAGTTCTCTCCAAACTTTACAACTACTGCCTCAGTGCTTCCTGCTTTCCACCTTGTTGGAAGTCCTCCTATGTAATTACTGTTTTTAAGAACTCTGGCGAACATACTGACCCCTCTATTGCCCTATTAGTCTCCTGACACTTTTCAACAAAGTATTTGAGGCTTTAATCAATGTTGAAGTGATTAAATATCCTAACCTCTCACAATCTGCTCTCTGACGAACAATATGAACTCCATTTTGCCAGGTCTACCACTAATGTGCTAATGGCCATCACTGAATATGTATATCAAACTCTTGATAATAATGGCTCTAGATATCTAGAAGGCATTTGAAAGGGTTTGGCATGCAGGTCTTCCACATAAGCTCTGGGGCTACAGTATTACAGGACAATTGTTTGATTTAATCCAATTGTTCCTATCAAATTGTGAAATGAAGTTTGTTTTGAATGGGATCACTTCCAGATCCTTTTACACAAATGCAGGTGTCCCACAAGGCTCTATCCTGGGTCCTATGATCTTCCTGATGTTATCAGTTCCCAAGTAGGTATTGATACAGATGATACTACCATTTACCCCTGTCTCAATAGGAAATCCATCAGAGCCAACAAAGTTAACCTGGCCGCTGCTCTTGAAAAGGAAGTTGGGTTTACTGTCTCATGCCAGAAGGTTTTTCTTATCAAAGTCTGTCTTGCACATTTACAAATCTACCATTCATCCATGCATTGAATGCCATTGATATATCTAGTCTGATGCTCCTGCTATTCATCTCAAGGTTCTTGACAAAATCCAAAGAAGGATCTGCAATGTAGTTGAACCTGACTCCAACAGTTTTTCTCTCACTTCCTGCCTGTGGGACTCTCTTCTGTTTACTTGCTTCCCTGATAACTACAATCTTCAAAAATTTAAATGCAATGTCAATCACCATCTTCCATCTTCTTGAATCTCGTTCATCTTTTATCCTTTCCTCAATCTCCCATCTACCCAATATTTTCTCTCACTTTCACTCCCTGTAACCCCACCCTTGCATACTAGTGGCATTCCCACATTACTTAGGATGAAATGCTTAAAAAAAGAAATAAAAATTAGATAAACAGAAAGAAAAAAAGTTTGACAATTAGGAAAAAAGAAAGAAAGAAAATAAAAACTTCATCATAAATGCTATATAAGGTGCAAGTAGTGGAAAAAGGTTTTGTGATGCATTTCATCTATTAGGACTTCATCAGACTGGCTTTGTTTATGTTGTTGTGACTACATATGTGCTTGAATGAGATGTGCTGGCAATTTTAAAATTTAGAATTTTTTTTTTTTTTTTATACAATCTAGTCAATTTCATGTAGATTCTTTTTCTTTTTCTTTTCATCATCTTTGTTATTAAATATCCCACATTGTGATAACCAAAGATCTGCCAATGTGAGATATTTAATAACAAAGATGATGAAAAGAAAAAGAATCTACATGAAATTGACTAGATTACATGCCCAAAAAAAAAAAAAAAAGATTATTTCTAAATTTTACAACTACAAGCATCTCTCATTTATGTGCATGTGTAGTCACAACAACATAAACAAACCCAGTTGAATTAAGTTTGAACAGATGAAACACATCACAAAATTTTTTTTCAGTTTTTCATTTGAAAATGTTCTTGATATATAAAAATTTATTGTTATCCCCACACACATATACATACACACACACACACACATATATATTCTGTTTATGCATTATTTTTTTTTATGGATGCACTTATTTGAGTAACTGCTCTGTTCTTTAATTGAACAATATTAATTACATCTACTGGCCTGAAGTTTGAGAAATTTTTTTTTACAAAATATGTGTTCTCTGCCAGGAATCTAACCCGGAACCATCATTAAGCCTGGCTTTCTATGTTCAGCCACAGAACTTCCAGTTACCCAAATCTCAAATTACTGCTTTTGAACACACATCTCCACCGATCTTTCTTGATCTATCATATCTGCTCTGAATTGGTAACCTAATGTAAACAATGACAACATAAGAAATGGATTAAATTCAACAAATATTTAATATCTTTTCTGTTTGTACATTATTTTTTATGGATACACTCATTTGAGTAAATGCTCTGTTCTTTAATTAAACAATATTAATTGCATTTACTAGCCTGAATGTTCAAGAACTTCTTAAATCAGTGTATCCATTAAAAAAAAAATAACAAACAGAAAATATATTAAATATCTATCAAATTTAATCCATTTCCTATGATTATATATATATATATATATATAAAAAGATAGATCCATACTTCTTTCACATTCACTTTTTGCTCTTCAGTTTAATTCATTTGTGACTTTTTATCACGAATACAACAGTTGACATGAATAAATGCTGAGTTTGAAATGTTTTTAATTTTCTTTTCTTTAGGTAAACCTGATCCTCCATATGATATAAAATTTGTCAATGCAACCCATGATAGCATAACCCTCACTTGGCAACCAGGTTTTGATGGCGGCATGGAACAAGCCTTTAGAATTCGCTATAGGCCCACTGGTGCTCCTAACTATAAATATGTAGACATTGGCACCAGTATTAATGTCTATGTACTCACAGGTGTGGAAATTCTGAACTTTTAACTTGATCCTCCTCTTGACATTCTTACCTTCTTTTTTTTTTTAAGCCATGAAAGTCAAAGAGTTATGTAATTCAAGACCATGTTTTCATAACAGAACACACAGTGCATTTTTATATCATTAATAAATATCAAAAGAAAAAATATTTAAAGTATTCGTTATTTAAAAAAAAAAGTAAAATCTCTTGCCCAATTATAATTCTTTGCCTTCTCAAAAATTGATTACAATGAATTTTGGTTCAATTTTTTTTGTCTATTTATCTTCTCTGGCAATTCCAGATGTGTTAGAACTCTACTGATATTGCCTGACTTTTTAGATAAACCAGAAACTAGGATTTCGCTATCATTTGGAAAGAACATTTCTGAGCAACTTTGTAAAATATATATAATTTTAGATGGTTTTGTTGCTTTTCTGCATTTCAATTTTTGATTCTTCTCAGGACTTCAACTGGGAACCGAATACATGCTCACAATGTTGGCCTTCAATAAACTTGGAGAAAGTGAATATCAAAAAAAAGAATTTAAAGCAAGAACATCAAGTATGTATTAAATGTTTCACATGTTTATCTACTTGTATAAATACTATTTTTTTAAGAATGTTCATAAAGCTATTTGAAACCTGCCTTTATTTTTTCTAGGTTTCTTATAGGAGCAACAAAAGTAGATTTCTGAAATTAAAATAAAAAAGAATTAATGGAATCCTTTCTTATTGTAATGCAATCAATTATTTCAGGTAAAGGAATTTATTAAAAAAAAGGTACAAGTTACAAATTTGACTAATTTTATTACCTGAAATATTTAATATTTGAGTTGGAATTATTGAATTTTGATAAGAAACTTTGATTGTACTTAGGTGTGGCTCCTCCTGGGGATACTGATCCATCAGCTCTGCAGGGCTCTGATGACATGCCAGTCATAATCATCCTTGTCGTCTGTATTGTGGGTATCTTTCTCTTGGCCCTCAACATTGGCCTAATCATGTTCTTCATTCGGAGGAAAAGGAAACGTTTAGAAAGTAAGTTTTTCTTTTCATTTGTTCTGTGTTTTACTTGAACTTGTAACTGAATAGTTTAACCAAAATTACGAATTGGTTTGAACTTTTTAAACACTTTTTTTTTCTCATGCATACTAACACTCGCATGATGAATACAAATGTTTTGAATGCTTTTACTCTGCAAGTTTACATTAATAACAATCTTTAACAAGATTTCTCTGATTAATCCTGCTTTAAGATAACCTCCCCATATTTTTTATAATATCTGTGAAATTTGTAAGTTTAAAAAGCTATTTTTTTGCTGTTAATAAACTTTTACAGAAACATTTCTAAAACCATAAATTTTGAAGTATGTCAATTTTTCTCTACAATAACTAACATTAATACATCATTTGTCACCATGCCATATCATCTATTATTATTATTATTGAACCTTTTTTTCTTTTGGGAGGAGGAGTAAAATAATTATCTATTTAACTCTGTTCTGATTAAGCAGTTGTTCTGCACTTGTATCACCTATTGACCTAATAATCTTGCTTCAAACATTAAGAAAGCAAGATAAAAATATATCAATAAGGAAATAATTTTCCATTCTTCAGTGACAGTGTTTCTTGTCTTTTATAAAATATAATCACATTTTTATAAATATACACACACTCCAATATAAGTCCTCATTCTGGTGAATTTTTGAAGTATCTTTAAGAATGCATTTAAAGTTATTGAACTTTTACTGTTTGTTTCAACAAGTTATTGTCTTAATGGTTTTGTAGGTGTTAGTAATTGCAATGCAATTTACTATGATTTTCTCTTTTGACTCATGGTGGTTTTAAAATTTTGCTTTAGATTTTAATATTTAAGGTTTTCTTTTCTTTAAAGTGCTATGCCTAATTCATAAAATCAGTTGGTTAAAAATCAAGAATATAGGTTAAACAAAATTAAGAGCAACTTATTTTTATTATACCAAAACACATCCACTAATTTTTATAAAAATATATTTACTGTAGTGAAAATGACATGTCATGTTGATAATTAGTCCATTCTCCTAAAACAAATCTCACTCCAAATATGGCCTTGTGCCAAATTTTTAAATAACTATGAAAAGCTACAAATTTCAGATTAAAGTAAATTTTAATGTTTTTTTTGTTTTTTTTTTTACATTGACTCATCCAATTTTAGGTCAGTAAAAGTAATTTCACAATTTGGCATTAATCTCACAGTTGACTTTTTAGAAAATATTTAGAAATTATCCACCCTTAGTTTAATATAAAGCAGTTACCATCGAGTTTTTTTACTCAATGTTATAATGTTCAACTTGTACATTCCTCCATATATTTTGTAGATTTGAGTGTGTACACATTTGGATATATAATCTAATATACTTGGTCACCTTTGATTTGATGAGGTGATCAATAATGTGATGTGTTGAAGAGAGAACTGCATTTTTATTAATACCTAAATCACCCTTCTTAAATAACCAACTATTGACATTCGGTGTAACCATATGTGATCTGAAAATAATCAGAACGTGTTGATCGTTGTTAGTTTGTAAATTGCAGTACATCGTTGAAAATCTATACACTTCTACAAGCCTTTTTATGCGATGAAAGTTTGGTATTTACAGTTTCTAAGGGGCATAACTATGTTAATAATTTCATGAGTTATTTCCCCTAGTTTTTATTAGACACCTGTAAAATTTTATTTTTTATTATATAAAATGTGATGTTAACATTGTGACAGCATGTAAATATTTCAGATAACAATGTCATTTTAACTTTCTCATTACAAATAAGATCCTTCAGAATCAATAACGTTCTAATTAATAACTTGAATATGTCATACTAAATTATTTAACTTGTATTGTGTGTCTTGGAAGGTTTTATATATATATATATATATATATATATATATATATATATATATATTATATATAATATATATCATCTTTTTGTTAAATTGTGTAAATGTAAATAGCTGTATGGAAAAACTTGTCACTTATAGTCAAATGTTTATATCTTCTGACAAATGTTCTTCCTCCTGTTGCCAAATAGTTTCTCCAAATGGAGGATCTCAATAGCACAGGAATTAGTTTCTCAGTGAGTTAGTGTGTCACTAGTGCAGTTGTACTGTACCATTGTAGGATATCTCGAATCAATAGCACTGCAGAGCTCCAATCATAGTGGGACAAATGAGATGATACCTAGACAACGAGGTAACTATGGTTCTCTGTCTGTCTTTCCACATCAGCTGGAATATTGGTTGAAAGAAACAATCCCCTTATGACTTTGCTACATTACCAACTGTTATATATTGTAAATTTTCATCATCCTTTTTTTTTCCATCAAACTTCAATTTACCATTCAGCCCTGTTTATAGGTCAGGGAAAATTTTTCAGTGAATTCATTTCTGATAAAATTCAAAAATAATCTCTTTATACTTCATTTACTATCTATATCTTGTGATTTTTTTTTTTTTTTTTAATTTCATTGTATTTTATTTTTCTTAGCAAGTGAATTTTTTCCCCCCTTACATTATATGATTTTTAGTTTTTATTTAGGTTATTCTTCAGCTCCATTCCTATTTTTAATTTTCCTCTATCACTCATGACATGAAAAAGGATGTGTGTTCAGCAGAAAAAAGGCTAGCATTTTGTTTAATCATTTGCAACATTTTAGTTTTTCCTACTAGAAATTACAATGGCTAAGAATATTGAATTTAAAATATTCTTTGTTTTTAATATAATTTTCTTTGATAATTCATAAGATTATAACTTCTATCTGCATTGAAATGTAAATTAAATTTATCAACTGTATCTTTTCTTTTGCTGTTCATGAATTAACCATGACTATTTGCCTTTTATTACTAAAGACTAACAAATAGTAGACTATAGCAACTAAGGGGTAGAAATTTGTACAAGTAAATGTAGGCCAAGAATACAATAGTAGATAAAGATAAAATATTGCTTCAAAACGGGTACTAAACAAAGCAGGGGTGGGAGATGAAAACAAGGTACAAATTTTAAAGAAAATATTAATGGTGTTTCATGCTTAGCAGGAAGAGTAACTAAAACATTAGTTAATGTCCTTTGGCAGTGAATATGTTAAATGATGCAAAGTTTTTTGGCTTTTAATTTTCAAAAGGATTCCTGCCTTTGATGTTGACATCATTCCTTGAGTCTCACTGAACTGTTTCTTTCAACCAGCCAGACATGTAGTGGCTGAACCACAACTGCTTTGTTCACTTGGCTCCTTTTTGTATTTTTTCTTTCTAAATATTTTTATTCTAATTTTCTATTGTTACTCTTTATATATGCATTCTTTGGAAACAGGCAATTGAAGCTTTGACTCTCAATATTGGAAATGAATGTTGGTAGACATATCAATGCCTCTCTCTCTCTGTCTCACATGCACATATTTTTTTGGTTTCACTGTTCCTCTCATAAGTGTCTACCACATTCAATAACAAACCAACTTAAAATTCCTGAGTCCACAACTCAAATCTTTTGTTTGCCACTGCCTATTTCCAAACTCTGTTCCAGTTTCAAATAGTTTTATTCATGTAGTATTCTTCTTTGTCATCCAAGTGGCCTTTTATTTTGCATAGATGTTCAGATTTTTGGGGGTTTTTTGTGTTTTTTGGGGTTTTTTTTGTTTTATTTTCTAGAACGTGTATAGCTGCTAAACTTACTTTTTTTTGTGGTAGTTAGTGCATGTCTTGTCTCATTGTTGTCATTTGAAAATTAATCTGTGTGTTTTTTTTTTGTTTTTTTTTTTTTACTCTAGTTTTTGCTTTGATCATATGCTATCATGTCTTTTGTAATGTCTATTCTTTTATGGGTCATCTTTCATCTTTTAAAAATGTTGATTGGTCATTTGAAAGATATTAAATTATACTCTTATTAATGAAGCATCAAATCTAATACCATGTATTTAGGTTCCTATTGATATGGATCCATTTTTAATCATGAAATCCTTAGTATGATCATTTAGTGTGCAAACTATATATATATATATATATATATATATATTTATATATAGCTGGCCGCTCTTATTCGAGGATACCTGTCTACTAGAGTGGCTAGCCAGTCCCTATTGCAGATGCTTGCTCAGGCACATTTGTGTTTGCTCAACACCTATAGAGCCCACTTGTGGTTTACACTGCAACTATGCTGAGCAGACCTTAGTTACAGTTTCTGGGGGAAAAAGCGTGTTATCTAGCATGATCAACAATATGAACAAGGCCAGCATGTTCAAGCTCTCAGCCACGATGACTTGTGGCTTTGTGCTAGCACAGCTATCGATGGCCCTCAACAGTTCTGTCTACTTATTTTCATTCACAAGGCTTGAGTCACACCATGGTATGGTTTTCCGGCACTTTCCAAAGGTGCCACACGCTGGGATCAACCTCGATCTATTCCAGTAACATCAGGAAGTCTCCTTCCCGACAAATCGACCCTGGTGAGATTCGAACCCAGGTCTCATGGTCTGAAAGCAAATGTTCTAACCACTCAGCCACATGCCCATATAATATTTGGAAACAAGCTGTTTTATTCCATGAAAATTTACATACATATGTGTGTATGTATGACAGAATGGTAAATATGTAAAACTACTTTGAATATTTTTTACAATAACTTAGTGTCATCAGAATTATACTTCACAAGAACAAAATCACCATTAGACAAAATGATTTATATTTAATCATCTAAATGCTTTATATTTACTTTACTTTCTATCATTATAGAAATATTTTAATTCCAACTCGGATTTTATTTGCTTTGTTGCTGTTTGTTTATATATCCCACATTGCTTTAGTATTAATTTAGTAAGAACTGGAGATAAACTGAAATATTCTGGTCGTATATTAATTGTAAGCAACTTGAAGATCATGACATTTTCAATGCATCTTTGTTTAATTAATCCCCCCTCCTCTTTGTTGAGGAGTTGTTCACAATGGTTCCAGCTGCACATTGAATGCATTAAATCCCTTTTTGCAAATGTATTTTAGGAGAGCATTTACATTATATTGGGTAGACTTTTGTGTCTGATGTATATAAAATTCAGTGTTAAATTTTATATATATATATATATATATACATAAGTGTTCATGATGATTTTATATCAGTTATGTAAATTTCTTTGAACTTTAATATTTATTGAGTTTGTGCCTAGGAATTGTTTTATGCATTCTTTTTCTTTTTGGTTTTATGGATTATATTCACTTTTGTTATCAGTGAAACATGTCCAAGTAAAAATCATATCTAAAAGCTAAAATGTTCCTGGGGCAACGAAGAAGATGATATTCCCCCAAAGTTCTGACATTTAGCTGTTTGTTTAGATTTTGAAAAGTGTGTTGAGTCTTGAACTTCTCGCCAACCTATATATATATATATATATATATATATATATATATATATATATATATATATATATATATATATATACACACTCAAATAATCAGATCATACAAGGCTTATACTCTGAAAAGAAACACTAATTTCTTAAATCTATGAATTTGTGAATTCTATCTGTTCATATAAAATGTATTGCTGTTAATGCTGACTGAATTTGATCTGCTTTATTACAGATGGTAGTGACACAACAAGTCATACAAATACTTTTGAACTGTTTGGATCAACCAAGGAAAGCCATCTTTATCCCATGTCACCATCAGAAGATGCTAGGAGTTATGACACTTATGACAAAAGTCTTGACGAATTCTCAGATGAATGTAGCAAAAACTATGAGGTTAGTCTTTCTATAATGTCTGTTGCTTTTAATACTTTCATTGTTCTGTTTAAATTAGTCTACATTTTAAGCTCTTTTATTATTTATATGCAATTTTTTCTTAACTCAATTTGACAAGAACTTTGACAAAACCCAATTATAGAATTTTCTTTTAAACCATTCTCATTAAGTGTCCTAATAATTTCATGAAAAATCCTTTGTCAAAATATATTTAATATAAATTAATGTCTATTTGCTTAATAAATGCAAAACAGTTAAAATAAATTATCACTTTTTATACTTCCTTTTTTTTCTCTTATTCATTTTTGTTTTTAATTCTTTCTGTGGTTGGATATTTTCAACTTCATCCATTATAAATTTGATATTATATTTATATTGTTAAAATAACTCTTGCCAGTTTTCTAATTTTAGCTCAAAGCTTTTTCTTTTCTTTTTTTTTTATCTAACTTCAAGCAATCAGATTATTTTCTCCTCTTGCTTCAATTTCAATATTTAATGACATCTGAAATCACTTTTTTTTTTTTTTTTTTTTTTTTTTTTTTTTTTTTTTTTTTTTCAAGGATGAAGATATGAAACGAGTATTCTTGCCTCCTCATGACTACTCAGGGCGGCCCTATACCCCCTGTAAACAAGACTCTCCTCAAGTTGAACCTAAAAGGGCATATATGGATTCTCCAAATAGACAAATTACTTATTTAGATGATTCAGGTTCACGATCTCCAATCCATGAAGGTAGATTAATTCTTTATCTTGCACAAAACAAACACAAAAACGGTTGAATTTTTTTGGTGTTACTTTTATCTGATAAACTATGAAATTTCTCTTTAGATTTGTATATGGCCCCTAAAAAGAAAACAGAAGGTTATGAAACAAATCACTATGGTGTACTTCAAGGAAAGACATCAGGAACATTATATGAAGACACATCAAGCTGGTCACGTCAGGAACAGAATAGTCGGATGAGAGTAAGTGATTGTCCAACAAAACATTTTCTTTTACTTTATTTATGCACTTAAATCTATAAATATCTTTATACTCTCTGTTCTCAATGTATCATTACTTCTAAAAATGTGTTACTTGAGAAAACTAAACAATCTGTTTTATTCCATGAATTTTTTTTTTTTGTCATTTCAGTTTGTTCCCTTGCCACTCAACTGCAAAGCCACACTTAACCCCTTCCATTTATAAACATGGAAGTCGGCCTAAATAGGGGTCAGTCAAAAAATAGCAAATAATCACACATTGAAACATTATTATAAACCAAATTTAGCAAAAATTTACTTAATCCAGTCCAACATTTTCTATCATGGCCAACTTTCCTTAGCCCTGCTATTTACAGTCTGGACAGCATCTGTATCAGAACACCAGGATAAAATTGTTACCATGTAGCACAAAGCTGCTGTATTCACTAAACTTTAGTTAACTCCTGTACTGCAATCTTTTTCTCTCTTCTGTATTGTTAGAAACATGCATATTATAAAGTAAATCCAAACTTGTCTTCCTTTTGTCTGCTGTTCCTTCTCTTTGAAGTGATAATCAAAAATAAAAACAAAAAAAAAATGATAGGTAGCAGTTAATTTTCCCTCTTGACCAACTTTTGTGCTTGAGTGCATGCCAAATCAATTCTTTTAATTCCCACCCCACTTGATGTTTTGATGCTACAAGAAAGTGTTGAAAAGTTCTCGGCTTTACCAAATGACTAAACATTAGAATATTTTTGCAAAGTGGTCCTTGTTTCGGCAAAGAATTTTTGAACACTGTTTATTTCTCCCGAACTTCTATTTATTTTATTTTTGTCTATTTTGGGGCCATTTTATTTATTATATTTATTTTATGATTTACAAGCTTGCTTTTTATATTTTGTTTGATTCATATTTAATTTTTATGCGTATGGATGTGTGAAATTTCCTTTTGTGTATACCAACAGGAGACCGTGTCGAGTCGGATTAAAATCCATCTCAAGATCCATGGTATTTTGACAAGGAATATTTTTTCCTTTCACCACATGTGGATCTATTTTTGAAAAGGAATTTTATCTGCACAAAGATTCTGCTGGGAACCAAACTGCTGATTTAATAATTGGCTTCTCTCTTTGATTGCCTTTTATTAAACAAGATGCATTAGAATATTTCAGTTAATCTTTGTTGATGAAAACCATTAATATTTGTTTTAATTTTTTTTTTTTCTTTTTTCTTTAAAGGTGTCACTCCCTAGAGATAAATGGGTAACCGGTCCCATTCTCGGCATTTAGGAATTGTGGTTAAGCATACATGTATATGTGTTTGTGTATCTCTGAAGATTTTTTTTTCTCTTTCATGTCAAGTTTGTGCCCTTATTTTCAGAATGGAATGGTAGCTGACTACATAGAACGGCCGGCCAACCGTCCGTGCAGCCGAGCCGGTAAGACACCACCCCCTCCACCTGTGCGCACATCCAGTCGGGGGGCAACTGACTCCGCTGCTGCTGCCGCCTTGTTAGAAAACCACGCCCCTCCACTGCCTGCACGTCTCTATGGCTCTCAGGACTTGCCTCATTTCGCACCTTCATCAGGTGTGTAATTGTACCCCAAACCACAGTGGTGCTCAGTAAACTCAGACACAAGGAAACCTGTTTTAATTTTAGGGGCTGGGGTTAGAATTGTATCTGGAAAGCTATCCCAAAGCACCTTTTTTACCAATTTATATTCTTTTTTACTTTTCCTTTCCTCTTTTTTTTTTTTATTCTTTTATTTATTTTTTTTATTTATTTTTTTTTTTTTAAAGAAAATAGCTCTACAATGTGAAGAATATTTCCAGTGAGTAGTTAAACTATTACTGGTAGTTTCCCAACCATTGTCCTGAAAAAAAAATGATTATTTTTGGGTACAAAAGAGAAAGATTATATAAGGAACAGATATTTTGGATTCTGTTTGGTGATACTGTAGAAACCAAAATCTATTCTGCAGGCAGCCATTTGGAAAGTCATCAGTAGTTTCTTAGATTTGCAAGTGATCTGGAGTGGTCATGAATGTGTTAGTTTTATTCTCCTAGTTTATGTGTTTGTCTGCCTCAAGTCATCCACTTAAAACTATTTTCTCTATTTTATAATTTTAGTTTTTTGGTTTATTTTTTTGTTTTGGGCTTTTCCTTTTTTTCATTTCTTGTTTATCACTTGTATGTCTAAGTTGCACAATCACTCATTTCTGATTTATTTTATATATATATATATATATATATATATATATATATATATATATAATAAAAATGTATGTGTGCATATATCATTTGTTTGAGGAGATTTTATACCTTTTTTTTTTTTTCTCAATTAAAAAAAAACTACTACTTTTCCACTGAAATCTGTTTTTGTTTATTTTCTGGCTAGCTTGTGAATCAGGGTAAGTTCAAGAGCTGGCTGCTTGTTGTTGCTCCTCTCTCATCATCATCATCACCACCACCACCACTGCTGTTGACATCCCCCAACTGTGAGGGGCAGTAGTCATTTTAGATGCATCTTTTAGTTTTCATTAATTACACACACACACACACAATCACTGTTATTAAAATTATGCTTTGGGGTAGATTTTCATGCATTCTAACTAATTTGAAATTTAAAATCAAAGTGAATAACTTCTAAACATTTTCTATAAGTTAAATATTATCCAGTTTTGTTTTAAATTTTGAGTTCAAGAAAACCTGCTCATTGTATTCATTGTAACACATTAATATTAAATTGCAACTAAAATTCTATTTCGCCGTATAATTTGATGACAATGTTGATTATTGGTTGTTTTATTTTTTAATAATAGAAGTACTAATTTAAATGAAGTTTTTAATAATAGAAATATTAAGATGTTTATCATAGCAATTTTTTAACCAATTGTTTGATCAATAGCTTTAAACAGGTTGTCAGCTAAACTTATGTTTTGTGATCACTTAATAAGTACAAATTCACTTCTAATTAGAACACAATTCAAATATATTTGGTCAGAATAGTTTCATGAATCTTTGCCAGAATGGCAGTCCCAGAGTCATGTTGGGCTCTTGCTGTATTGTTGCTACTGATGCTGCCGTTTCCATTTTACAGTGCCTTGTAAACCCTAATTGCTCTATCGTCAAGTGCAAAATAGCTATTACAATGCCATATGTGAAAACCTCTTCATGACCAACCAATGTAATCCTTGCTTTAATCCTGAATCCTTAAAATGTAACTGCAGCTGAAGGAGCAACAATTTGCAGTATGTTGCCTTGTTTATTTCTTGCTTTTTATGTTCTCCCACCTTCCTTTGTCTCATTCATTCTAAGACTGGTTATCATTGCAACAACATTTCACAAGAATTTTGATGTAATATTCATAGCAAATTCAATCATCAACTGATTTGAGTCAGACATTTATGTCAGTCTCCTGTTTACAAATCTGTCCAGTGCATCCTTCGTTGTTACAATACAACCAGTTTTCTCTCCTTTTCCTAGTTTGCTTTTAAAGATTTCACTTGTTGCTATCAGTTTTGTCTTAATTTATTCTTAGCTAATCTAGTTCCACATTTTGTTTTAAATTGTCTTTTATTTTTATTTTTTATTCTGGTGTTTTTGTACTGCAATATTCTGTTTTGCATCTCAGTCCAGTTTACTTTTTTAACATGCAATGCTTTGTCTTCTATTAACACTTACTGACTCTCTGTATGTGTGTTACTAGTCTCTCTTATTTTCAGTTTGATTGAATTGATCAGATAGAAACATCACATTCTTGATTTCTACTGTGGTTAGAAGTTTGGAGTGAATCTGATTACTTGCACTTATTACATCTTTATTTTTAACCTCTTGAAAATTGAGTTGCATTATAATTAATGCAATTATCATCAGTAATTGTGTGTGTGTGTGTGTGTGTTGAAAAATAACATATTTCATATTGAAAAATTAATAATTTCTCTAAATAACAAAATGTTAAATTTATGAAGATTTTTCGACTTGTTTCTTAATCCTTTCTTTTTTAACCAAACATATCCGGTTCACTTCAAGTTTCAAATATTTTGAATGTTTCAAATATTATTTGAATGCTTTTTTTTCCAGATTGTGACTTGTTTTTTGCCAACTGACTTTGATCCTTTTGTATTATGTTCAGCATAAATGTGCACATTGGATTCATCAGGAATCTTCACAATTTCTGTCAGTCTGTTGCTGCTGCTTTTTTTCCTCTTAACATTATTTCTGAATACAACTTTTTTTTTTTTTTAAAGTTTGTATTTTATTACAATTTGTCTGATCTGCTTAGAGAGAAATTGGTTCTTTAAAGAAAACTACTGCTTGTGAAAAGATAAAATATAATTCAATGAAGCAGTATGTTGCCTTATTTATTGCTGTAGTGTCTACTTTATTTAACCATTACTTTAACATGAGTAATAAACAAAGACAAGTACAATTACTGAACTGTTACATAATATCAGTTCTCCTCTATAGCAGTGAATGCTGGACAATCTCATCACAAATGAAGACAAAATTTGAAGCAACAGAAATGTGATTTTACAGAAGGATGCTGAGAATACCATGAACTAAACGTGTGCAACGACAGAGAAAATGGCAACAAAAAGGGGGACAACAACATCATGAGTTGGAAGTTCTAGGGTACATTGAGGAAAGAGAGGACTTAGAAAATTTGATGCTGACAGCACATACTGAAGGCAAGTTGGAGAGAGGAAAGTCGTGACTAGCCTACCTAATGTGAGAACAAAGGTCAGAAGAAATATCAAAAAGACAAACATTACTGAGTGCCACAAAGGATAGGAAGTTGTTGAGAACCATAATTACCTGAAGGGACACAGCATATAGAAGAAAAATAATATGTTCACAAATAATGCTAACCTCCATTTTGATTACTGTGAATGCCACATAGTAACACTGATGATATAAAATTGTTAAGGGACAGATAGAAATTTCTTGATCACTCTTTCTAATTACTGTATATTGAAATATCTCTCATAAAAGCAATACTGTATTTATTTTGAATTTTCCACCTCAATGTTGTTTTCACTGGTCACAAATTGAAAATAATGCCTTCAAAGAGCAATAATAAAATGAAACTACAAATAAAAGAAAATATGTAATGAAAGTCTGAAATTACATACAAAAAGCATTTATTCATCAAAATATCACCCATCATCATCATATTGTGTCTGTTGCCATTGTTGTTCCAGAAGCTCAATTCCACAATTATAACATTTGGCTGGTTTAGAGGGGAAGAAGAAAAAAACTCCCTACACACTTTTTCAACCTTATCCACATTGTTGAACCTTTGTCCATGCAGGAAATGACTTGTGGCTTAAAAAGGTGGTAATCTGATGGTGCAAGGTCTGGGCTGTAGGCAGGTTGTGAGAATACTTTCAGCCCCTCAAGTTTGTCCTCGGGTTATATTGGCAATGTGCAGAGAGTGTACTGGATTGTCATACTGTAAGAAGGCATATCTATAATTGATCAAAGCATCATATACTCACTGCAGTTATTGAGCATAAAATCAGTGTTCACAGCATTGACCATCTAAGACAAGCTCAAAATTCCACCAAACAAACCTTACCATCTGTTCAAACAGCCATTGTTTGATCACAGGTTCTAAAGTCTAGCTAGAATGAAACCACTGATTTCTCTTATTAAGATTACAAATATAGATCTATTTGTTTATCTCCAGTTACAATCAACACCAAAAACTGGCATCTTGAGGACTGCCAGGAGTTGTTTGCAAATGTTTACACCTCATTGAGTCTGATTATTGGTCATTTCATAATCAACTTCTCGACAGTTTCTGTTCACAAGGCCAAGTTTATAAAGGTGTTGATTGATGATACTTTGTGAAGGACCAAGTTCTGCCAATAATGTGCTTGGCTGTTGTTCAACCATTTCAAGCAAGGCCTCATCTTCACAATAGATGTTTTTTGAACCATACAAATTGTTTTCAAATACTCCTGAACTATACAACATATGATAGTTTGAAAACCATTTTAAAACCTCACTCACCACTTACAACATTTTGAAACATTCTTTAATAAAAATCCAGTTTCAACATTAAATAACTCACAGGGGTTGATATGCTGGTAAAACAATCAATCAATCACAATAGATGGTCTCCCTGACCTTGGTTTGTCTTTAAGGCTGGTGTCACCTTCCTTGAAATGACTGAACCAGTTTTGTGCTACACATCATTGACAGCTGGGTCTTTTACATCATTAATTTCTTTTGACACTGCTTTGCACTCTGTGCTTTTTTTCCACAGGTAGTGTAAAGTGGCTCTAATTGCAGTTCTTATCACCACTCATTATGAAAGCCTTAAAAATAAAGAACAAACAATGTTTGTGTTATATGTGAAAAAGAATAAACATTTCAGCAATGATTGGACAACAAATTCTATCAAATTAGTGATTATAACATGAAGATACAAGTTGCAAACTCAACCTGGTATACCCAATGTTTCCGTCATCATAGAAAAGCAAATTTGTCTCTAAGCAGATAAATATTTCTCTTTTCAGAATTCTTAGTATTTTGCTCAGTCTGTATTTTATTAGTTGTATTTCAATTTTATAATATTGTCCAATATTTAACTTAATTTTCTGTGTGTGGGAGGGAATAAAACACACATATAATCTGTTAGGGAAAATGAATTTCTAAAAATGTTACTTATTCTGTAACTTTATCACGTAATATGTAAATACTTTGCTGATGTTATTTCAGTATTTATTTGATTAAATTTGTCAATATCAATAAAACTAAGACTGTTCTTAAATATTTTAACATTGCATGTTTTGTTCTATTATATGGCATGTCAAACTAACCAAAGTTGCTATGAATTTAATACCTTTTTATTGATAATACTAATCTTATAATTTAAAATTTGTTGCTATTTCAGCTAAGCCCTTTACATTCTCCTTCTATTAATAGTTTAGAAATGTCCTTCCTCAATTCAAATTGTTTGTATTCATTATTGTTTTTCTTCCCTTCATTTTGCTGCTGATGCCTGTTGACTTGTGACTTACTTTCACAGTCACTTACCAATGGAACACACAGACTCAGTCATCTGTTTGACATCTCTACCTAAATAATCTCTGGAATTATGCAGGTGATTCCTGGCCTTCTCTCATTGTTTGGTCTTTCTCCATTACTGAAGCTGAATGTTAGCTATTTGATCTCTTCTGCCTTGTCCACTTTCGCCATGTGCCTATACAAGGACATGTCTTTAGCAACCTGTTCTTTTATGCACACAACATTAACTCATCCCACTCCACAGCCATCACTATTATTATTTGGCAACACAAATTAGTTTATTATAAATACCAACTAAGTTAGTTGCCATTTTTTATTATTATTATTATTCAACTCCCATAAGTAATTTTCAAAACATTTCAAATAAGATTTAATTGAAGATATTTTTACCAGACTATTTTCTGACAAAAGTTATAATGGTTTAAATTGAAGCAGCAGCTAACCAGCCACTGCAGCTGCTCCCTTAAGTGCGGTTATGACTAAAAATTTCTCTTTAAGCATGCAGATGTTATTTCATGATAGAAAAGACCTCAATTTTTTTTTTTTTTTTTTTTTTTTTTTTTTTGATTAAGATAATTCACCATTTCTCATTTCTTAAATATTTCTTCATGAATACTGACATCTACAAAAATGACACAATAGATCTATAATATATGGTTTCTACATTTTCCCATATATTCTTGATGTTAGAGAATTTTACTGCTAACACCATCTTTTTTTTTTCCACTTGGACCTAAACAAAAATAATTCAAAATTAATTTTAACCTTCTCTCAACTATAGATAATTCTTTTATACATTTCTCTATTTTCACTTGTATCCAACACCAGATTCCTCTCACCTCTTCATGGAGGACATTTAAAACATCCCAACTCACTTGTTTTGTTGATTCAAATGGTTGAAATGAACAGCTAATACTGCTAGAATTTAATTCCTGCAGCTGAAATTACTAATACCTCTGAATTTAACTTGTTTAATTTTAAAAAAATTTCATTTAAAAAAAAGCCTAAAATGACTATGCTCCATTAATTAGTAAATATGGTACTGTGCAATAAAGTTCCTCAAACTCAACTAGTTTTTGGATTGGCTTTCCCTTTGTTCCTTATTGTCTTTGTAACTTCCTCTGACCTTTTTATCATAGGTTAGACATGTGATCCTGTCCATTCTTACTTTCTCAGCATGTCTACACTACATTGCATGACAATTAACAAAAATCAATTTTGCTTCAGTTAATTTCTTTTTTGCATGCCAATTGCTTTTTATCTATCTTTTATCACAGACAGTGTCTCATTGTTTGTCAATCAACTGTTGTGTAGTCTGTATTTTTTGTCTCATTTCAGTGACTCTTTTCTCTGCATGGCAGTTTAATTTTTCTATTTGTTTCAGCCATCTCTACAATCTCCTACCCTGTGGATCCTCCTCAACATAGAATGGCCCCTCCAAGGTTGATTGCCCCTCCTCAGCATGGCAAGTCCTCACTACTGCATTTGACTAACTTGATTTTTTTTTTTTATCATTTTTTTTTATTTTTATTTTTTTTGATTCATGCATTGTCGCATGTGTGTGTTTTAGTTTTTTTTTGTTTTTCTTACTACCATGTATCTTGCCATATTTCAATTTTCATCCCGAATATTTTAATATCCAGGAAGAAAAGTGACAGTTAACGCTTGCTTTTTTAAATTGGACATGTTTGCTTGTTTTTTTACTAACCATTTAACAAATTTTGCTTTCAACTTTATATTTATACTTTTTGCTCTCAACATTCTTTTGCAAAATGACAAAGAATAGATTCATTTTTTTCTTTTTTAAATTGTCTTCATAAAAATGTAAGCTGTAACTTTTTATGACCCAAAGTATTTGCTTGTGGATTGATAAAACTAAGGTCTACTATTTTTCATTAGTAGGGCAATTAAAAACTTGTAAATTTATGCAGATATGATTTGCATATGGCTAATATAAATAATAATAATAGAGATGAAGACAGAAACGACTTGATGGCAGTTGAACAAAACAGATTGTTGATTCAGTAAAGAGAGACCAAAAAAAAACAATTTTGTTAATTAATCTCTAAAGATATCATAGAGAAAATAATCTTGTGTATATTAGAAAAGTGTATCTGTCATTTTGCATCTGTACAAATGTTTTATATAATGTTTTATATAATGTTTTTTTTTTTCATTCTGGTTAATTATACAAACTTTGTATTTTCAAGAGGGTCTGTTCTCGAGTTCTTCCATTCAGAAATGAAGTATTTAGAAACTTTAATAATCCTATGTTTAACGATAGTAATGTAACTGGTTTTGTTATACAGTTGACTCTTGAAGGCATACTGAAAACCTCAGGTTTGACAAGAGCAACTTTGACAGTTACAAATTGTCAACAAGATTGTCAACAAAGCCAAAGTATGTTCCATTAAGTATAGAAAACTGAAAATTTTGTTCAGATTCAAATTTGAAATTAATTTTTTTATAGATTGTTTTTAAGCCTTCAGAACTGAATTGCAAGAATATATGACAAACAAGCAGTACAATTATTAGGTATATGCAACTTGATCACATGATCAGTAACCCAAAATAAAATGTACTAGTATAGAATATTCAATATTTGATTATCACACATTGTCATAAAGTTTTCTATGCTAGCTCTAATCTCACCATCACTGAGTATTATGCAATGGGGCTTTTATATTTGATCAATATTATTACTATCCAACTAAAATTAGGAATGGAAAGCAGTTGTATTTTTCAAATGATTTTAGGGGGTTTTTTTTGTTTTTTTTTTTTTTTTGGTTTTTTTCTGATTCTTCTTCTTACTATTTGAAACCAATTTAAGCAGTGTAGCTGCTGTTCCTCTGTTGACAGATTACTATATTTCAGTCTCTTAGAGATGAACTTTTGTTTCTCATCTTGAAAACTTTATTTCCTTCAAATGATGCTAAAGTTGTACATGTTTGTATAATTTTATAAAATATGACTTTCATCATCATTAAATATTGCAAAGCGTTTATTATAATCACTTGCATATTATTTAACATAACTGCAATTAACTAATACTTTTACTAATTACATAAAAACCCTTTGTAGTTTTCAGAAATAATTAACCCTACCCACTTTTTACATGTGAAGAGAATGTGTTTGTTTTTTGGGGTTTTTTTTTTTATTATTAAGAAACCAATTTGTCTAACAAGACTTTTACAGTAATCTTTTGAATGTGGGTTAACTTTTGTTAACTTTCTTGAATATGAACAGGTTGATTTTTTTTTTTTTTTTTTTCATTTGAGGGGAGTTTACTATTTTCTATTTAACCAAATTTCTTAAAATTATTTTTTCTCTAATGGATCTCTATTTTCTAATCAGAATCTTAAACAGTACCTGGATGTTAAGATGAAATATTTCAATCTTCTCTTTGCTTATACAAATATTTTAAGTTTAAGGCTATTAAAAGCAAGTTTTTTTTTTGTTTTTTTTTTTTAAATCCAGGTTTTATTGCCCCCTTCCCCCACCGGAATTTAAAATTATTCTAATTTTAATGTAGATTAACCTGTGACTTGTTTCACTGATTGTTTAGCAGAATATCTGCTATAATTGGTCTGAATTAACAAAACAGCAAACTTTGTTGCATGATGATGCAAGTATTAAAAGATTTTCAATCTTGCTTCTTCTGTTATATTTAATGTCTTTTACTTCTGCATGCCTTTCTGATTCTCTTGCCTAATCTTGTGATTCTCTCCAATGAATAGAATATTGCAGGAGAAATGGCTCCACTCTTGTTGGAAAATTCCTCCCACTTTGAGTTTGGTTACTGACAGTATAAATTGTTTTATATTCTTCTGCTTGCAAATCATTTCTGAAGCTCTTTTTGCTGGATAGCTGTCTTTTTGATTCTTGGTCAGTAGTATATTCTCTTGCTCTTTTGTTATGGTCACATAAGAAGTCAAGCCAAAAATAACACTTGACCATGGATATCTTTTATATTTTATTAGTTCAACTAGCTTCATAATATGAAATTTTCTATGAAAATATTAACAATAAGATATTTAAATATATGCTGCCTACCCTGCTTTTTCTGTTTGTTTGCATTGTAGTCAATGCAGACAGACAAAACTGACCAGAACTCACTTTTCTTTATTTCTTCTTTTTAGGTCCAAGTTTATCAATTTCTCCCAACATCGTCCCTAACCCCAGCTATGAGAGCCCTCCTCGAACTCGCTGCCCCACTCCGAGGGGGAGCCTTCAACAACTGACACAAGCCAGCCTTGAAATGAAAGGTCACCTGGTGTAACCCTAGACTGCCACCTGTCACCACTGCTGCTACAACGACTAAATGAGAATTAAAATGACAGAATCAATGTTTTTTTTTTTTTTTTTTTTTTCCATCAATATTTTCAACACTGTTCAATCTGTGCCATTGGCTGGTTGTAAAAGGAAAAAAAATACCAAGTGGTGGAAGGTCAGTGATAGTCTTTTGTTGCTACTAGGAGAAAATGAGTTGATAGACTATCACTTCTAACATCAATCTCAGTGTCAATAAAGATACACCACACCTGCACCACTGAGATGTGCAGACTTTTCTAGTTTATCACAGTCTACAATGCAGAATGATTTTGGAATGGTTTCATTTCTTTCAACAGAACTTCAAACAACTGATTTTCATCTGCTTTCTGCGAATGATGGATTTTGGGAAAGGAATTGTCTGGATTCTTTAGTGAAAAAACTCCCTTTCAGTGTGTGTGTGTGTGTTATATATATATATATATATATATATATATATATATATACTGTTTATACAGCTGTCAACTTGTAGACTCAATTGGGGTTCTTTCATTTTGGAAAGCATCATCAGGTGTGGCCATGTGTGTCGGCCATGGAGATGGGAAGAAAGTAGCTATGGCTCATGTCTGGAAATTCCTGCTCTGTGAAAGGTGACTAGTCTGTTTCCAGAATTTGGGTTTAAGAGCCATCCCCATCCCTTACAAACAGATGTCCATATGGGGCTTTATCTTGACTGACCAGCAGTCGTCTCTTAATATAACTACAGATATCAGAAACTATTTTCATATTAGCATTACAATCAACACCATCTCCTCACATCATTGCTTCCATTAAGCATGGTTTGCAGTGTCTACATACTCCAGCTCTTCACCACACATTGGACAACTGCTGACCAACTGACCAGCATTATTTGAAAACACAGTTTATTTTACTTCTGACAGATATTCTATTTATAAGCTTTGCAGAAGTTTTTTTTTTTTTTTTAATTAATTTATTTTGTGAACATGTTTATCTAGCCTGGAACCTTTGTGTATGTCTGTATTTGTGCATCTTTTAGCAAATGCACAAAGTGGGCAGTTATCTTTGCTCAAACATCTGTGTGCATGCATGCGAGTGTGTGGGTGTGTGTTTTTATATATATATATATATATATAAACTTCAATTGCAAAGATAATGTCATTAAAAAAAATCTCTAGGATGAATTTGACATACCAGAGGCTCCTTGGGATTGAGTTTTTTGTTTTTTTCTCTCTCTGTGTCTACTCTCTCTCTCCTTAAGGTGGCGTTAAACTTCAGAGACCTCATTATCCTATATCCCAGACTTCTTCCAGCCAGCACTTTTGTTGGCCTTGGGCTCTGAGACCAACTGATTTTAGGTTAAAATGTTTTGACATGCTCACTTATGTACATACAACTTTGTCTTTACACTGGCCTCTTGACTTTCTTCAGTGCTGCCTGATTCTCTTCAAAGACTCTACCAAAAAGAAATGGATTGGCTCTGTGCTTCATTTTGCCAAGCAAAATACTAAGTTTCTTCTAGTCTGGGGAAGCTTTCCCTCAAGTGTTTGTAGTACAGTCTGACTCTTTCTTTCCCTTTCCTTCTCTTTCTCTTCCTTTTCTTTCTCTTCCTTCTCTTTCTTTCTCTTCCTTCTCTTTCTTTCTTTCTCTTCCTTCTCTTTCTTTCTTTCTCTTCCTTCTCTTTCTTTCTTTCTCTTCCTTCTCTTTCTTTCTTTCTCTTCCTTCTCTTTCTTTCTTTCTCTTCCTTCTCTTTCTTTCTTTCTCTTCCTTCTCTTTCTTTCTTTCTCTTCCTTCTCTTTCTTTCTTTCTTTCCTTCTCTTTCTTTCTTTCTTTCTCTTTCTTTCTTTCTTTCTCTTTCTTTCTTTCTTTCTCTTTCTTTCTTTCTTTCTCTTTCTTTCTTTCTCTTCCTTCTCTTTCTTTCTTTCTCTTCCTTCTCTTTCTTTCTTTCTCTTCCTTCTCTTTCTTTCTTTCTCTTCCTTCTCTTTCTTTCTTTCTCTTCCTTCTCTTTCTTTCTTTCTCTTCCTTCTCTTTTTTTTTCTCTTTTTCTCTTTCTTTCTTTCTTTTTCCTTTTTTTTCTTTTTTTCTTTCTTTCTTCTTCTTTTTCTCTTTCTTTCTTTCTTTTCCTTCTCTTTTTTCTTTCTCTTCCTTCTCTTTCTTTCTTTCTCTTCCTTCTCTTTCTTTCTTTCTCTTCCTTTCTTTCTTTCTTTCTCTTCCTTCTCTTTCTTTCTTTTCTTCCTTTTCTTTCTTTCTTTCTCTTCTTTTTTTTCTTTCTTTCTCTTCCTTCTCTTTCTTTTTTTTTCTTCCTTCTCTTTCTTTCTTTCTCTTCCTTCTCTTTCTGCAAGTGCAACTGTCAAAATATCTGGTCACATCTGTTGATTAAACAACCAGCCCAAATTTACACTGGCAACAGCAGCAAAGCTGGCAAATGTCCAATGGCAAAAGGAAACCTTGTGACCAGGATGTTAATGTTTCCCATTTCTCAAACACTCACTTCTCTCATTTGTTTTCCTGTTGGATATTAGAATCTTGAGTCATCACTATAAATATTGCCAGTAGTGCCATCATTTGTCTCTTTGGAGAGAATATAGAATTGTTGATTGGTTGGCTCATGTAGTCATTTTTGACTGGCTGCTGTGTGTGCTAGCCACTAAAATCAAGGAAGCACCAATTAAACATTACTAAACTTTGAAGATTAAAAAAAAAAGAAAGAAAAATGGAAGAAGAAAAATACTGTCATGGCTGTTACTTTTCAGCTCTTGGTATCCTGTTGTGTGAATAAAGCTGGACAGTGTTTGTCTTTGCACCGTTTTGGACACCAGAGCTGTTGTAAGCTTCCTGTGGATGTTTCATGAGTCATCATAATTTTTCACCCTGTCAACATTAACTGTTACTCATGAAAAGCACAAGCAATAACTTGTGCTCTGCAATTAACTAACTTAGTTACTTAACCCTCTCTGGACTTTACAAAAAATTCTAACACATATTTGAGAGGGATTTGTGTATTTTTCATTAACTCTAATCTGGTCTTATGTTTGGCCAGCTTCAGTTTAGATAAATTTGTGTGAGAGCAAATGGTTTGCTTGAAAGATATTTGTAGACTGTTATTCAACGTACTGTCTCTGAAGATAATGTAATGTGTGTGTGTGTATACAAGGTAGTTTGCGGGTACGGACATAGCTTGGTTGAGATCAGAAAAAATCCTGCATCAACTTCTGCTATCCTTGTCACTGCCCAGTGCAATCCATCTCAGTTTTTTTGTTAGAGGGGATGAAAATATTGTGAGCAGCAACAAAACTTCAGCCCCCACTTCCTCTCTCTCTCCTCACTTCAACCTTACTGCAATGTGATAGCGCCTGCTGATGGCAGACAGATTCTTAAATAATTACTCCTGGCCAAATCCTGTCAAGTCTGGCCATAAAAAAAAAATGGTAAACTAAAATTTACATTTGTGTTAATCACTGAGAACTGAATACAAATTAGGCTTCTTGTCCTGCAAAGTTAGAGCAATCTTGCTAGACTTGACTGTGAAAGAGAGGACTTCACAATTGCAACTTGTGAGAGCAGCTGCAGCATGACCCACAACCATGGACATAAACAGAGGTCAACAATTCATTTGATTCTCTTTCTTAAATTGTCCAAAGAACAAAGTTTAGTTTTTCTGAATATAAATCTAAACACCCTTTAAAAAAAAAAATCAGTCATTTTCCATCTTATTTTTTACTGTTCTTGATTATTTTATAAAGTTTTTGTTTTGTTTGTTTGTTTTTTTTTTCTCTCCCACTACCACTTTCTGTTACAAAAAAAAAAAAGAATTCTGTTGATGAAAGAAAAAAATTGTTTTCCCTCCAGGAGGCCTTAACTAAGAGATGTGTACAAAGTTTTGTATGTGATCTCATGCAGTCTAAGTTATAAAGGTGAAGGCATGTGTCCATATTTACTCACTGTGTTATGTTGAATTTTTGCTGGCCAGCCAGCAACCAGTTGTGACTGAAGTGTATATAAATACAAGATACCCAGGTGAAAGGAAAGCCAGATAGGACAGACTGTTTGTCACTTATCTAGAGACCACAGCAGCAGCAACAACAACAGATTGTCCTTTACTAGGACAATTTCCCTCCCCCTACCATTGCAGCACATCAGGGAGGAGTTGCAATGGCTTTTCAAATTTTTTCACTGATCGGGAAAAATGGATCATATAAAAGAAAGTATTTATATTCAAAATCTGGTTCTTGTTGTATTTTCAGTTTGTTGTGCTTTAATTTTCTGCATTTATTTTACATGTTTAAAGTTAAATACACAATATGTAGACATTTTGTAGGTGATTACATCCTCTCTTTCTGCAGTAATTTCTATTAAAGAACAGTTACCATGTGTGTCCAAAAACAACAAAACTTGTAAACAAGTTCTCAGATCATAGTGCTGAGCCCTCCCCCCAACCAACAAAAAAAAAAAGGATGGAAATGAATGCAAGTTCACTTAAAGAGCTAGTTTGCTGATGAAGCACCTAATTTGCTGATTAGAATTCTAATGAATAAGGGTTGTGGATGAATTTCTGTAGAAAGAGGAGTATGAATTTGTTTGTGACACTGGAATAAGAAATGTCTTTTATTTATTTTAATGGTCGGTATGCTCTCAGAACAACTGTTCCAAATTCAGAAAGATAAATCTTACTTATTATAAAACGCAGGTTGTGTGTGTGTCTGTAACGTTTATGTTGGATCGAATTTCCTACATTTTTTAGCCGATTTCAACAAAACTTCACAGGACTACATAAAATTACCTTTTGGTGGTTCTAACGGCGCCGAAAATGGGAAAAACACAGTTGTTTTCTAAGAAAATCAATTTGAAAACACGATTAAGACACATCATGAGAATGAAAGGGGGACAACTCACCCAGGAAAATGTAAACAAAAGAGAATAGCATGATGAAAAAGATGCCGAACTTGACGAAAACAAAATTTTATCGTCTAATGTTCATATTATTATTAAAGAGGAAAGATCAAAGTATTTTGGAGTATTTTTGGAGTATTTTTTTTTCATTTTAATCGTTCCTAGCATGTCTGAAATTTTCGTTAAAAATATTTTTTTTTTTTTTCAAAAAAAAAAAAAAAAAGACAGATAATCAATCATTTTTAACATTTTTTTCGATTTGATAAAAAAGATTAAAATCTTACTTTGATATTCTTTTAAAAATCAATTATCATTTTTGCAAAACTGATTTTAATAAAAACAGATATTATACTGTTTATTTAAAATATTTTGAACCAAGCTTAACTTAGCTTCTGCGCCGAAAAAATGTAATTTGAAAATAAAACAAAGCAAGTCATAACCTATCGCGTCGCTTGACGATTGACGAAAGGCACTTTCATGACGTTTAGATAACTTACGGGAGGGTAATTCTTTCTACGGATGGAAGGAAGTGAAATTATTTAAGTGAACAAATTATTTACCTCGTTATTTTTAAGGAAAACTTTCAGCGCTCTAATTTTTTTTTTTTTTTTTTTTTTTTTTTTTTTTACGTTTTTATGATGCTTTATGGAAAATATAAAGAAATTAAAAAATAAGACTGTTAATAGTGAGATTAAATTTCATAAAAAAAGGTATCTAATTAATTTAGGTACCTTTCTTATGAAATTTTATCAGAAGTGTACATAAAATACTATAATTTTATGTACATTTATTACATTTTACTGTGTTATTTGTATTTCCATTCATTTTATTATTAATTTTGATATTTCATTTATGGAAAAATGTCATAACTGAGATTAATATAAAAATAAGATCATATAAATTAAAGTTTAGCAGTAGTTAAATTTCATAAGATGATACTGTTACTTGTAGGTACCCTTCTCAGTTGAAATTGAAAACTCAAATTAACTTCTCCATACGTGTTTCGCAAAAAGTAAAGGGCTTAACAGCGGAGAACAATGCTGAACTCAAATAATGCAACTAAATTGTATTCTGGTTGGTCTTCCGTACTTGATAATTACTGTCCGACTATAAACACAAAAAATTACATTTCTTAATTACCATGGCTAATCTGATTGGTCCAAATTATACAATTTTCAAAGCGCAGACAATGACAATCTCACACGGACATTTTGAAAGGTTGATGTTGCTTTTTAACTAATGTTAAAAATTTTTTAAATTCAATTTAAACATTTTTAAAAAATCTTTTTTTAAAATTAAAGAAATAAGAAATAATTGTATTAAAAATTCAATTTTCATTGAAAAAATTTTTTGCTTTCAGAAAATATTGTCCATATTCATAAAAAACAAATTAAAACAAATAAAAGCATTTGAAACTAAATAATATATTTGTTTTATTGAGTTTTGTATGTTACAATTCACAGCTGATTTTCAGGTACGTTGCCAAAAAAAAAAAAAAAAAAAAAAAAAACATGATTTGCATTCTTCAAAGCCTTGTGCTTTTAACTATTGTAATCACTAAAACCGATGGTCTCGAATTTCTAGAGTTTTTCATAAAATTAGTTATGGGGGGTGTTAATAAATAAAAAAAAAAAATATTTCTGCCATGACTTTTTAAAAAAAAAAACATTTATAATAATTTCGATCATCTGTGAATAGTTTCTGAAAGTTTCATTAACATCTGACAATTATTTTTATTTTTGCAAGATTTTCCAAATTAATGTGTAAATAAAAAAAAAACGCGCTAAAAAATTATCTATGTTATTTACTACCCCTTGTTGCGACAAAGAGAAACAAGGTTTTTTAAATCAAAATTTAGAATATTCTAAAAAGATGGAAAAATTTTTAAAAATAATTAAAAAAAAATTTAGTCTATCCTCTTCATAAAAACATAAGCATTTTGACGATAAAATTTTGTTTTCATAAACTTTAGCGTCTTTTTCATCAGACTATGCTCTATGTTTTAGCGATTCCGTGGAGTGACTTAGGTAAAAAAAAAAAACCAGGTTGTTTGTTTGTGTGTGTGTTCCCTTATATATGGGATCGGATTTCTTACATTTTTCAGCCGATAAAACAAACAACCACTTTTTTTTTTTTTTTTTTTTTTTTTGGCAGGTAGTATTTCTTATTGTCTTGCACACTTTTTTCTTTATTTACATTCAGAATGCTTTAAAAATTCCATTTACAAGACAATTGTTTATAATAAAATTCTATTCACCAATCGATAGACTCATAACGATTGTAAACAATGTTTTTGTTTGAGTTTGACCAATTCGTAAAAAAAAAAAAAAAAAATAATTAAGACATGCATGTCCATCAACCTTAAACAATAATCTTTGTCAATTTTATTTTTCAGTCTTTATGATGGTCGATACTTGATCTATCTCTTACTGTTACATCCCCGGGCAACGCCGAGCTCTACTGCTAGTATTTAATAAAGTACGGCAGAAAGCTTTCTTTATGCATAAGATATTAAAGTAATCCATCTGGGAACAGCTTTGATGTGACTATGGGAACAAGATTTTTAACATGGTGTGGGGATGCTTCTAAAACTTAGAATTTTTTGTAAGGGAACCTGACCATAGCCTCATAC